TACCCTGCCCTTCAGATGAGTCTCAGACACACAACCCTGAGAGGGATGACGTAGTATCCAAATGAGCCTTTAGCTAGGCAGTGGTAGCACACACATCCTTAATCCCAGCACTCGGGAAGCAGAGGCAGGCGAATCTCTGTGAGTTCAAGGTCAGAGGCAAGCCTGGTCTACAAGTGAGTTCCAGGACAGCCAGGACTGTTACATAGAGAAAGCCTGTCTCAAAAAAACAAAACAAAGCAAAAAAAGCAAAACAAACAAACAAAGAAATTAATTGCAGGCTTGCTTACAGTTTCAAAGGTTTAACCCACTACCATCATGTTGGAGAACATGTCATTGTCATCATGACAGCATACAGGCAGGTGCTGGAGCAGTAGCTGAGAACTATATCCTGATCCCTAGGCAGAGAGAGAGAGCAAGCAAGCTCTGGGCTGAGCATGGGCTTTTGAAACCTCAAAGCCCACCCCCAATGACACACTCCCTCCAACAAGGCCACACCTCCTAATTCTGTAAATCTTCAAGTAACGCCACTCCCTGGGACTAAGCATTCAAGCTGTCCTTATCCAAGCCAACACAATGACTGTCAAGGGCCAGATGACTAATGACTCTGAGGGGGAGGAGCCAGACTCTCTGGGCATTCTGTGGGGTGGGGAAAGGGCCTCTGAGAGAAGGCAAAGGAGGACACCAGGTGTGGAGTTCTCACAAGCCCCTCCCTCCTGGCCACTCCACATCCAGGCCTCCACTCTGTTGCTATTGTCTGCAGTCACCTGCCCAGCACTTCTGAGAAGAGAAGCGCCCACCTAGGGCACTTTATTCAACAGTGACCCCAGGCTGCCAGCCCTGTCCAGATCCTACCTCACCGTGGTAGGGGCTGCTCAGAAATTCCCAGGTTTTACCAGATCCCTCAGCAGCCTTCTGAGAGAGCAATGAAAGCTATCTCCTCCAACCCTACCCAATGTCTGCATCTAGTCTTGACCCTCAGGGTGATGACATTAGGAATACATTTTCTTTCCAAACGATGTCTGGTTGTCCCTCCCTGATACTGGCCCCCAAAAGAGTTGTCTCAAAGTGTAGTCATGTATTACCACTTTATACAAGCAGCAGAAGAAGGCAAATAGTTTGCCCTTTCGATGAGTTCCCAAAGCCTCTAACTGCCTGTTACACTTTAAAAAGCAAGGGATTGCTTTTTTCTAGCCCATTGTTCTACTCCAAAGGTTAGCATACAGCAAGAGATCAATAAATGTTTAAAAATGATGTAGCTAAGGCCTAGTACAGTCTAGTGACATGAAAATCACATGGTTCATTGGTGGCTGAGCTAGAACTTCACCTTTCCCATCGTCTGACCCCAGGGTTAGTTCATCCTGTTTAGTTGAGCAGTGGCGGAGACGGGGTTGCTCTTATCTAAACCACTGCAAAGCTTTTCTTCCTGCTCTTCTTGGCACCACGTCTTCATGTGGATTCTAGTTCTTAAATATGTACACACACACATATACACACACTCACACACTCACACACACATACATACATATATACATACATACATATATACATACATACATATACCCACATACACACTGACACACCACACACACATATGTACATATACACACACATACACACCACACACACATATATACATATACACATATATACATACACACACTGACACACACACACCACACACATATATACACACATACACACACTGACACACACACATACTCATCACACACACAATATATACACATATACACACTCTGACACACACATACTTACCACACACATGTACACACACACACACTGACACACACATGCATCCCACATACACATACATACACACATGTACACTCATATATATACACATACACAAACAGAGATATATCCTCTGACCAAATGAGTAACCTCAAAGCCTTCTCATCTGGTCACTTAAAGTATCTCGGGTTTCGCTCCTTTCTACCCATCCAGATCTGACTTCTAGCATTGCTTGCCTGTCTCTCTGTTCTGAGGAAGTGTTCCATGTAGCTCCAGCTGGCTTCAAATCCCACGTGTAACCAAGTGTGGCCTTGAACTCCTGATTCTCCTGCCTCTCCCTCCCATGTACTGATATCATAGGTGCATCCACCAATCAGGATTTGACGTCATACACTGTAACTAAGCACACCCTGTCTCTTATTTCTAGCTTGTGTACCCAGAAACCCTCATTCTTCCTTCAGGAGACAGCCTGAAGACACTCCTCAGTAAAATTCTCTTCAAACTTGCCTGGGCGTGGGCTCAGCTTTCAGTATTTTCACAGCAGCCTGCCATTTCTGCCTGTCCGCCTGTCACCCACCTCACCCTGCGCCCAAGACCTAATACAACACTGGTCCTTGTATCCCCACCACATAACAATGAGTTTCACAGCAGAAGTGTGTGGGAACAGAGGTACCAAAGAAGCAAAGAGTCTTTACACACTGCACCTGCAATTTCTAAGATGTTCTGAGGTGACACTTCTGTGTGACCTTTTTCTCCATCACAACTCAGAAAGGCCAGCAGCAAGATTTCAGGCCTCACAGAACTGGCTCCGAGCACAGCCAAAAAACTCAACTGGAAGGCAGCCCAGTCTGCTTCCCTCCGAGTACCATGAAGGCCCAGGGTTGCAGCCACAGGAGGGAGGGCCAGCAGTCCCCAGAGCAGCTGCTACAGTACCAAGGCTCCAGTATACACTTGGGGCCATCCTGAATCATCTTGTGAAATGAAGTTCTCTAAAGAAACCTCATCTGTGTTAAAGACCCTTGGGACCAATCAGAGCATCACGATGCAGAGAGATGGAGTGCTGCTGACCAAGAGCCAAAATTATCTTGGGCTATCTTTAGTTCCCTTCATAGCTGCTTTAAATCTGTGTACCTGACCTAACAAAGCCTTCGAAACATATTGTTGAATGTAGCTGACCACCAGGGTCCACCAATCCAAAACCCTACAACAGGAAATTTCCTGCTCTGCCAAAACCCACCTACCTGATGTACCTACCCATGTAAATACATCGATTTATAACTTTCTTTTTAAACATTCTTTTACATGTGACTTTAACATCAGATAACCTCTTCCATAGTGGAAAATGTCATTCGGGGGAACCTGGGTCCTTATCCATGGGCAGTGGTCACTCGTGTTTGTCTCAGAACAAACTCTGTCTTACTCACATCGGGACAAGAGCCTCCAGACTGACACTTAGCAGCTGCTCAATAAACAGTAGACAGAGCCTGAGCATTAGGGTCCCAAAACGAACTGCTCCAGGAAGTATGTGGCAATTGGGATGAGAAAAATCCCCTAAGGGTACATATATTTGAACATTTGGTCTCCTGCTGAGGGTACTCCTTGGGGAAATTATGAAACCTTTGGAAGGAGGGAAGGAGAGCCTTACTAGACAAAGCTCATCCTTGGGGCCAGGCTTTGGTTTTTACAGCCTCACCCTACTTTATGTTTTCTCTGCTTCCTGTGCATGGTTAAGATGCAGCCTCTCAGCATCCTGGTCCTGCTGTCTCACCCTCCCCCTCCCCATTATGGACATCCAGCCCTCTGGAACCATAAACCAAAATAAATCATGTCTTCTAAGTTGCTCTTGGCCATAGTATTTCCTCCAAAGAACAGAAGAGTAACCCATACAAGACATCAAATTCCTACCACGACAGTCCTTCATTCACTAGGAGACTATCCCATCCCATAGGTGGGGGGACTGAGCAATGCTAGAAATAACTCCTGTGCCCCATGGTCCCTTCCAACATAAAAATTATAGGGCAATGACTCTGGATTGGAGTTGGAGGGGATTCTTGGAAACCCTGCTACGGTCTGGTGAGCTGATCAACTGATGTCAATATAGTTTGCAGCAGCTTGTGTTCTAGGTAACAAACTGAATGTGGTTAAGTAAACTCATTATGAAGCAGCAATGGGCAGAGGGAAGAGGTCACTTGGGTTCTTCAATCTTCCAGTCCTGAGCCAGTTTCTGTGGCTTTTCTGGGACTTCCGGGGCTATTTGAAGTCGGTGGGCATGCAGAGACCCAAACAGCCTTGAAGCCAGGCAAGACTTCCAAGGACTGGCTCCCGGAACGTCTTGAGTGTACCCTCTCAAGGTGAATGGAACCCATCAAGCTGACTATGCACCTATCCTGTGTACCAGGCTCCAGGTAAGCATGCATATAGTCTGCCTCTCCCCGGCTCATTGCGTCCTGGTCTCAGAGAGCATCGGGACAGGGAACAGACCAGACTTCCTGCCTTGATCTGCTAATGACAGTGAGTGAACCCTATGCAGACCAGCATGGGCATATCTGCAAGTCAAGCCTGGAGCTCATGCATGCCTTGAGACCCAGGAATTCGGGGCTGTTGGGAAGGCTGCTAGGCTTCCTGAAGTCTACTATTGAAGTCCAAATATTTCCAGACTGTCTTCACAATCTTCAAGGCTGGGAGATCACATGGGGAGGCCCATACCTACTCTTCCTCACCCCCCACCTCAATGAATGAGCCTCGGGGGCCTGCATCTTCTAGGTTAGCATGTTGTCCAAGTGAGCAGTGGGGACAGGAGTCTAGGAAGGGCAGTGTTCAGCACGCTGTTGTGCGGCTATGTGATTTCAGGCAAGCCTGTTTCTCTCTTTGGACCTCAGATTCCTCTTTCTCTAAAAGAGTGAGAAACTGGCTGGTCTTTTCCCACCTTGACTATAAACCAGCAGCAAGACACAAGAACCTGGGAGCACAAAGATTCCTGGGCCTCATCCCAAAGCTAAGGAGCCTGACCTTCCAGGAAGACAAAACAAAGAAGCCTGTGCAGATCTTAACTCCCAGCCTCAGCTGGCCTGTGTCCTCACCCCTCCATCAGGAGCCTCTGTGTCCTCACCCCTTCACCAGGAGCCTCTGTGTCCTCACCCCTCCTTCAGGGAGACCCTTAGGATTCATTGCTGCAAGTCTCAGGCTCCTTGGGCCAGAGCTGGAGTAAGCTTGCATCACCCGCTTCTCCAAAGAGCTGTGGAGGCTTCAGCGCCGGTCAGTGAGCAGTTTATTACCCATCAGCCTGTCGAGCCTGCCCAGATCACAGCCTGCACAGCCGGGACACCATCTTCATCCCAGTCAGTTCTGGGATCCAGGCTCAGTCTCCACCCGCGTGCCCCCCCCCACATTCTCACTTCCTTTCAAGGCAGCACCAGGCCTGGGGGCCACACCTTCGCTGGGAGAGGGAGAGGAGACAGGAAGACAGAACTGGGCAAAGAGAAACTAGGGTTGGCCCCAAGCTTCTGGAGCCAGCACCCCAGTGAAGAGGGCGCGGAGGCAGGGCTTCGGGGCACTACACGTGGTTCAGGCAGGAGGCTCCTCTCCAGGACGTGCAGGGAAGCCGCTCAGGTCTCGGCCAATGATCTCACTCACTGCAAAGGAGGGGCAGTTGGAAGATAGGGCTAAGGCAGGTCTTTTCCTCCTCAGAAACCACCCCCCTTCAATGCCAGGCAGGCCTCCAGCTAGGGCACATCTGGACCTCTTTTGTCAGGCCTCGGTTTCCCCAGTGTCTCCTAACATCTGCTCCTAACTAAATTTTGTCCCGCTCCATCCATGTGGGTTCCCAGCCTGGCATCATAGCATTCTCCCGCCAGCTTGGCCTATGCCAGTGACGGCAGACCATACGTAGATGTCGCCAGTCGGACAAAGAAGAGATAAAACAGAAAGGTTTCCTTCACCAAAGCGGACTGCAGTCATCAGGGAAAGACAAGGCAAGGGGAAAATACTCAACTAAGCTTTTCACAAGACACTGTCCCTCTCTGAAACGCAACGCTTGAGTCTACCAATCAGAGCACTAGATGGGATGGCCTCGAAATACTTGTAGGGCTGAAATTTTATAATTAGGGTAGAGGTCAGAGACAGAAAAAAAAAGCTAGAAGATACTCCATGTGCCCTTCAGAATTAAGGTGCTGAATTCAGGTGGCCACACGCACGCTTGCTCCTGAGACTTCTGACTGCCCTGGGACACTAAGGCTACCCAGCTCTGCGCAGCCCAGCTCCAGCCCTCGCCTCCACACAAATCCATCTCTTACACTCACTCACACCCGCAGCCCCCAGTCCCGCACCCACCTTCCTCCAGGGTGACACCCTGGATAGGCGCATTGTCTCTGAAGCCGCTGCTGTAGCCACCCCTGGATTTCTCCTGCTCCGAAGCCCCCTCCCCGGGGGCATAGCCTGGCCCCACCTCATCGTAGCCCTCAGCAGGTAGGGGGTGGACAGCATTCTGGGGATTGAAGGGGTCTTCGAGTGGTGGGGAGGAAGGTAATGGCGGCCTAAAGGGGGCCGGAGGGGAGAATGGAAGCCCCAGGGCAAAAGAGGAGCCCTGTCCCCCGTATGGATCACCAGGAAAGGGGCGGGGCAGGAAGGGGACCGGAGGTGGACGGGCACAACCTGTGGTACCTCCAGTCTCAGGGAACATCCGCAGGCCTGGTCTATAGGATGGAGGGGGCCCCGTCTGGGGGTACAGGGTGGGTGTGCTATAACCAAAGCTCTCTGACAGATAAGGAGTTTCGTAAGCAGGGTCTTCATGGGGATAGGAGGGGTAAGGGGGTCTGGGTGGTGAGAAGTCCATGTCAGTGCCAAAGTGGGGGCCCGATGTGGAGGGGAAGCCCCGGAGAGATGAGTCTGGTAGGGGCTCCTCCTTGAAGATCACTGGGAAGATGAGGAGGCAGGAGGCTGGTGAGGTCCCGGCAGATCCACCAGCACACACCTTCCAACCTCCACCCCTTATCCCCTCGCATTGGTGTCCCCCTCTGCCCCCACCACAGGGGCAGTCTTAGAGCGCACCAGGTAGGAACTTGAAACTTTGGGTAGGACTGCGCTTCCTCCGCCCGTTGGAGACGTAAAAATAGACCTGGACTGGCCGTGATACCCGCTTGTTGCTGTACTCGGGGATGGTCAGAGTCAGTGTCACCTGGTGAGAACAGACGGTGAGACACAGGTGTCACCTTGTGAGACACAAGTCCTTGACTATCTTCCATCAGCCCAACCCTTCCATGGGCCCAACCAACCCTCATCAGCTAGTTCTACAGCGGAAGAGTGAAGTCGCTTCCCTGAAGGAGAAGCCCTCTACCACAGAAACTAGACCCTCCAAGACAGAAAAAGTTACTCTGGAGTCCAAACCCATAAGTGGGGGGGTCCTCTTTTTTTCCTTTTATTTTTTTTTCTTTCTTTCTGTTTTCCAAGACAGGATTTCTCTGTGTCACCTTGGTTGTCCTAGAACTCATTTTGTAGACCGGGCTGACCTGGAACTCAGAGATCTGGCTGTCTCTGCCTCTGGAGTGCTGGGATAAAAGGCGCCTGGCACCACTGCCCAGGCAAAAACCTTTTTTTTGTTTGTTTGCTTGAGAGACAGGGTCTGTCTATGTCGCTCTGGCTGTCCTGGACCTCTCTGTAGGCTAGGACGGCCTGGAACTCACAGAGATCCTCCTGCCTCCAAGGGGCGTCTTCAGAACTTTCTTGTTCCTCCCACCCTTCACCCCACAGCCAGGTTGGGCACCCCAGGGACCCCTGTACCTCGCTGCTCTGTAGCCGGTTCACCGCAGCCTCCTCCTCCCACAGGAGCTTCCCATCTATACAGGAGAAAAAGAGCTCCAGCCTAGCTCCAGGCCACCACTGCCCCAGTCCCCCCCTCCCCCCCCTCGCTAGAGTCAACTCAGATTAAAAAAGATCCTTAGCAGGTCTGGCACAGACTATATCAGAACTGCCTGTCAAGGACCTAGAAAGAGTTAGTGTCATCCCCCACTCCTCCTACTAACTCAGGCATCCCCTCCCATGATACCAGCAAGACAGACAGCGGGGTAGGAATGGGTCCCACCTTGCAGGGAGGCACTAAGACCAAAGCTAATGGTGTGGACCCCAGTGTGCCAAATGTGGGTCTCGGGGCTGGGCCATCAGAGAGAAGGGTTGAAGGAAGGAGAAGCCCACAGGTTGGTGGTTGGAGCCACCCCTACAGCTCCATGTCGGAGCACCCCATAAGCTCTCATAACCACTGCTGTGCTTTTATCTCACAACTGGAGACAGGTCCAGAAGCATCTACGACGGTTGTGAGTCCCCTCTTCACGGGGGTAAACCGTCTCAAAGCCATGACCTCTTTAACAAGCAGGATGTGTGTTTCTCGTGTGAGCTCACTATCCTTGCTGTTTAGACTGAGGTCACATCCATGAGGAACTGGCTGTACACAATGACACTGAGGCTTAGCTTGATGGCTTTGTGACAGTGTCCAAGTGTCACCTGCTGTTGCAAGCTCTACTACCCTCCTCTCCTCAGGGGTACTCACCGGGGCCCCTCTCAATGAACACCACTTTAGAGTCTGGCAGGAAGTTGGAACCAGTCAGCACTAGCTCCTCCCCTCCTCTCACGGAGCAGGCACTGGGGCTGTAGGCCTCCACCTGGGGCAGCTCCTGGGCTGAGCGCTGGGCTGTAAAGTAGTGTAAGAAAGAAGCCTGGCTGGGCCGGGTGCGGAAGGGGCAGTCCTGTCCAGCACTTAGCATCAGGGAATCCCTCTTTCCAGGGGCAAATGCAAGATAACCAACAGCAGCCTTGAAGCTGCACAGACTGTGTAAGGACCACTCCTGAGGCAGAGACAAAGCAGATGGGTGCAGGTTCATCTGGACCATCCCGGAGACAGTCTGTAGCAGGGACAAACTAAGACACCACCTTCACCTCTCCCTCTTATGGTAGGACAAGAGCTGAGTCCTCTGTGGCTACCCATGACACACAGGGCACAGGACGCTATGTAGAGGAAATGGGTGACAGACAGACAAAATAGGGGCAAGACACAGAGAACTGGCCAGGGTCTATTTGCTCACAGCACTCGATGGGCACGGATGCTGCCTGCACAGAGACGACCTTCCCGCCGCCCTGAGGCACGTGTACACGGAACACCAGCCGCACACGTGTGTTTTTGCGCCCGATGTCCGTCTCACCCTTGCGGAGCTCAATGTCTGAATTCCGAAGCTTCAGGATTCCAGCACAGTCAATGCTGAAGGTAAAGGAGAGACGAAAAGCCTTCTGAGCCAAAGCTGGGACAGGGATGAATTGTCCAGAGGGGAAACCCCCACCCTCAATCCAAGGTCATAAGACAGAAAGAAAGAAAGGAAGAAAGGAAGGAAGGAAGGAAGGAAGAAAGAAAGACTCTGAACAAGCAGCTCCACTCCCATTGATCCTAAGGGGGCAGAGCCAGTACCCAGGCCATGTGCTAAGAGGAATCTCACAGCAGAAGCCCAGCCACTGCTTAGCAGTTTAAGGTTTGGCTTGTGCAGCAGAGAATGCTGCAAGTGTGTGGCTGCAGGCGCTTAGTAATTCAGGTCCAGGCCAAAAAGAATCCTCTGAACCGGTTACAGTATGCATAAAGATATGTTTAGATGCTGAAGAAAAAAAGAAAATGAATATAGGCAGTCAAAAAAATAAATAGTTTAAAAATAATAAAGTCTTTTTTTTCTTTTTTTTGGGGGGGGTGATTTCAAGACACAGCTTCTCTGCATGGCTCTGGAGCCTGTTCTGGAACTCGCTCTGTAGACCAGGCTGGCCTCGAACCCACAGAGATCCGCCTGCCTCTGCCTCCCAAGTGCTGGGATTAAAGGCGTGCGCCACCACTGCCCAGCAAAAATAATAAAGTCTTTTAAAACAGAGTGAAGTAAGAGAAAAGAAAAAAGTCACAGAGTGTGTACTATGCTTCGTTGTCTTTGAATTTTTAATGCTAAAGAACAAAAAACAACTCTGCTGAGAGACATTAGAAACGGATAAGTTAAAACAACTATATATTTTAAGAATGTCTTAACTTCAAAATGGAAGTCAGAAAATATGTTGTGTTGAGGAAGAGGTTATGCCTTTGTTTCCACAGGAAGCAAAAAGTTATGGTACTCTTCAAAATTAATAAAGATCAGATATGATTGGGGGAGACCTAAGAATCTTAGCTACAGACATAAACAAAAAACCAAGAAAGACTACAAGACAAGTAACATCTACTATGGAAGCATCTCTGAGACCAGATAAGATATGATAAATCTTGTTAGCTACAGAGACCTCATGAATTATTATTACATGCCATCCTTCCATATGACATGGATAGGGGTTTGGTTATATGGACTTATAAAGTTGACAGATACCCTTTACCTGCTCAAACATGGAACAAGCTACAGAGACCTCATGAATTATTATTACATGCCATCCTTCCATATGACATGGATAGGGGTTTGGTTATATGGACTTATAAAGTTGACAGATACCCTTTACCTGCTCAAACATGGAACAAAAAAAATCATCTTTAGCTGACTTGTGCGTACCACAATTTCATACTTGTGTTAATACAGATATATATGTTATCTTTAAAAGTTGGTGTGTTTTCAGAGAAACAGGATCAGATAACAATAAAGACAAGTAGTCCAAGTGATTCAGCCTCTCAGAATGCCTCTGTTGCAGCTTCTTCAAAATTCTGCATCCAGAACAACTTCAAAGCTGCTAGCTGAGGTGGTCCAGCCTCACAGACTATCCAGCAAGACTTCAGATAAGCTCTACACTTTCCCATCATACAGAGATTGAACAAAAAATAGTACATCTAGCTCTCCTAGAACTTGACCATTATCACAATTTTCTCAGGGTGCCCCAAAGATGCTGTTGCCCCAGACAACAAGAAGCAGCCTAAATAACATGATGCTGACATTCCCAAGAGAATGTTGATAGTTTTTGGTCATACAAGGAATTATGGATATTTATCATCATTTAGGAGGGTTGGTTATAAGTTGTTGTTGGTCATGGTCAGGAAAAAAGCTGAACAACAGAAATTAGATTCTGGTATCTCTTTCTGAAAAGGGGTGATATATTATAGAAATGATGGCATAAAAGGGTGGATTATTGAGTCTACTTTTGAATGGCCACTGGTCTCAATTACTTTTCATTGGTATGGATTTTTTTATATTGATACTTATACTGTATATATGTTTCTTGCTGGGAGCCTTTATTATTTATTACAGAAATAGCAATTAATATTCTAGATATCAACTCCATAATAATTGTTATTACAAATTTGGCTGTATATAGAATATATACTGGGTTTTTTGTGGTTTCAAATAGACCCCAGAAAAAGAAATTCCTTCTCACTGGGGCATCCATAGTAAGAGCTGCAGCCTCCGGATCTCCACATTCCACAGCCTTAGTTTTTTCCCTTTGATGTAACGTTGAGAAATCCTCTTTAATTAGTTAGCAGCACATGTTACAAGTCGTGTCCCTCCTGAGACTTAGGTTTGCCAGGACATTTTGTAAGTCATGTCCAGCGGGGAGACATGAGGCACCTACTTTTCTCAAGATCCTATCAGCCTTCCTGGCTCTGAGAGATATGCCTGCCCTATTGTCAGAGAGTTGTTTAATGTACCTGTGGATATAAAAACTAGAAGCCTTGTGGGATCAAGAGAACTTTAGAAGAAGGAACTTTTGCCGGGCGGTGGTGGCGCATGCCTTTAATCCCAGCACTCGGGAGGCAGAGGCAGGCGGATCTCTGTGAGTTCGAGGCTGGGCTGGGCTGATAGCCTCCAAAACAACACAGAGAAACCCTGTCTCATAAAAACCAAAAAAAAAAAAAAAAGAAGAAGGAACTTTTGGAGACTTTGTAGAAGAAATCACGAGAGAATTTTTAAGAGGGCTTTTGAAAGAAAAATTTAAATGGGAGCTTATAGAGGGGAAATTATTAGAGAGAACTTTTAAGGGGAAATCTTAAAAAGGGCTTTTGAGAGAGAACTTTTGGGAAGAACACTTTTTGATGAATAAATAGCCATCCCTATCTGCCCGTTGTAAGCCTCCTACCTGAATCCCTGATAGTTTCTACTCTTGTTTAAGGTACTGTACCTGTGCAGCTCATTTACAAATATAAAGTTTTAGTTCTTGAAAGTTAGTAAGGATAATAAAGAAAGACATATTGGTAGTTATTCATCTATGATAATCAAACTTGTAGTAATGTTTAACCTTGATTAAGCAGATATATTTTAGATAGATAGGTGGTCTTCAAACACTTCAGAGAGCTACATAATATGGCATTTAAGATGTTCTAACATAAAGCTTTTGATGACAGTGAGATATGTCTGCTCCTGGCAATACCAATTTACTTTTTAAAAAGATGATGGACATCAAAGAACCTCCATATGGAGTTTGCTTTCAATGTGACAAAGCTAGCCATTTGGACAAGAAATGCCCTTGCCTCAACTGTTAACAGAATATTGTCAAAATTGGGCAAGCAAGTGACAGCCAAACTTTGCCAAGACAAGGTCTGAAAGTCCTTCAAAATTCCTGCTTCACAGAAAAGTCTATCAGATATGCTAGGCCTGTAGACTGAAGTAGGATGCCCCAACATTGCAGAGGAACCGTGGATGACTGTCCAGGCAGCCAGCTGTCTCTGCCATTTCTATAGTTTTGGAAGTTGTTTGCTCTACACTTCCTGTTTACTCCGGTAATATATCCTTCTCCAGTCTTTGATGGGGTTGAAGGCCAGGTAGTATAACTGTTACAGTTTTCCTGTTGCCAAATTCAGAAAAGAAACCTACATAAGAGATGTAAAGTTTATAAGGTTGAGAAACATAAAAGCTTAAGTTGTTTATCTAAGAAGATGTTTTAAGGTCTAAAAAGATATTTTTTAGGATGGTAATACAAGCTATGATAGAAAGTGGTTTAGGTATAAAGCTTTGGACTCACTAAGATAGGATAGATAATACAGTATTCTTTCCAAATTTGCCAAATACAAATGGACTAGACATTGTGAATATATTTCTTACTTGATAATTGTTCTTGCTGTATATAGTTTTACTATGCCAGAATTAAAATCTTTCCTTTTTATTTAGACAAAAACAGGGAAGTGTTGTGGAATATTTGTACACTGTGTGAAGATGCTGTGAATGGTGTAATAAAAGCTGAATGGTCAATAGCTAGGCAGGAGAGGTAGATGGGATTTCCAGGCAGAGAGAAGGGAAGAGGAAGAGGAACCTAGCATGCGTGCAGTAGACACCAGGAGACACAGAGAGGAAACAGGAGGTGCCAGATGGAACAGAAGTAACTTTACACGATAAAACGTAGATTAGTGTAAAATGGTTAATTTAGGTTATAAGACCTAGTTAGGAACAAGCCTAAGCTACAGGCTGACCGTTCATCATTAAGAAGAAGTTTCTGGGATGGAGAGATTGCTCAGTGGTTAAGAGCACTGGCTGCTCTCCCAGAGGTCCTGAGTTCAATTCCCAGCAACCACATGGTGGCTCACAACCATCCATAAGGAGATCTGGTGCCCTCTTCTGGTGTGCAGGCATACATGCAGGCAGAATTCTGTATACATAATAAATAAATAAATCTTTCAAAAAAAGTTTGTGTCATTACCTAGGAGCTGGTGGAGGGGCAGAGAAAGACTTGCTACACAAAACACTTGCCTAGAAGGAAACTGACTTGGAGTGATAATGTCTAGCTCTTCTGGGAAAAAGAAAAAATGGGCCTCTCTGATCCTAAACCCTGCAGGCTAAGGGAAAGTCGGCTGGGGACTTACTTGGCAGCCATGTTGTTCTCTGGGAGCAAGGTCATCTCCAACACTTTGGTACCACTGACTACAGCTTCATAGCTGGCTGTGGCCACCATCTTGCCGGTGATGCGGTGCACCTGGTAGAAGGCGTGTGGACGCAGGCTCCTTTCATCTGCGGTGCCAATGAACATCTGTAGCGTCAGTGGCTTCTCACTGTAGCCTAGGAGCTGGCAGAGGGAGACAGAGCCACCTATTTGAAAACCCCAGTGTCATTTGCCCTTACCCATCCTTGGGAATGGTGAAAGATAAAGAACATCCCGAAAGGGATTCCCTGTGGGAAACCGGGCATCAGTTGTAGAGAAAATGTGGCCTGAAGTTCACAGTGTTATTCTTGGAAGGCCCAAACTGGGCTGGGCAAAGGAGGAAGAGCTTCCAAGAAAGACTAGCCCAACTCAATATAGAGAAAACCTAACTCCCAGTGACCTTTGGCCCCAGCTGAAACCCTCCCCCACATCTGGCAAGTCACCATTTTCCGAAGTAGACATGAGGCCGATGTCCCATGGGACAAGCTGGGCAGGGTGGGGTGTAGGAGAAAGAAAAGAAGAGTAGAAAGTATATCCGGGTCCTTGCTGTGTTCCAGCCCCTCCCCTAGGCTGCCTGCAGGGTCACAGCAGAGACAGAGTGTGGGAAAGGGCAGTGCCACAACCCTGTGTACAGCTCAAGCCCATCTGCAGGAATCTGGGATGGGGAAGGGAAAGGAAGCCGGCCCTGCCTTCTGCCCTGTACCTTGACCACGGGGTGACCTCCGGGCGCAGCTTTGACCGCTCCACGGCTGCCCTCTGTCTCGTAGTGGGCTCGGTGGTGGGCTCTAGGCTGCACTTCGATCCGCAGCTCCAGCTGCTCATACTGGCTGGGCAAAGGCCAGTCGAGGGGAGGTAGGGCAGAGGTCCTGGGTGGAAGAGGAGACTGTCTGGGACCTCAGACCCATCAGGACCACACTGGGTTTGCGAGGGAGGAGGCAGTGTGGGTATGGGAGAAATGAGAAACCACAGCAAACATAAATTCCAAGAACTCAGAGACAGAGGAAGCGGCCGGAAACAGAGCCCTTTGAAGATGGGCATGTGGAAGATGACGACAGCCCGAGACATCCTTCTCCCACGTTCTGGATGAAGGGCTTCAGGTTTTACTAAGAAATGGGGGAACCCAAAGGCCATACTCACCCTCTGACCTAGGAGGGCAGGTACAGCACAGGAGTGCCACTTTAGAGCAGAGAAAGCACCAGACAAACAAAGCGACTAAGGGCTGAAGCCTACAGTAGATCCTAGGGCTGGCTATTCTGCTACCAGGCCAACTGTCTCCCACTAGTTGGGGCTAAGTAGGAAAAGTTGCAAGACCTAAGGATTGCTTTTCTGGAATTGAGTACAGATACTCTACTAATAAATCTCAACTGGTAACTTCATGCTGCCACTGCACAGACAGCTGGCAGTCTTTTAATTGCCATAACTATTGTAAAAGGGGCTACTAGTGTCTAAGGAATAAAAGTCTGGGAGGACGCTCAACCATTTGTGTCCAGTACAGCCCTGCACTACAAATTGCCCAACTCAAAACAGTGGTCAACCGAGGTTGAGAAACGTTAGCCTATGGAAATCCCAGAGGGTCCAGCTTCCCTCTAGAAACATTTCAGTCTGACAGCTCAAGGTTTAGGACTATTGGGATGGGTAGGATCCTTTGAGAGAACAGAAGGGATAGAAATGCAAGTTTCAATATAAATTCTTAGACTTGCAAATACATGTAACTTTATTCAGACTTGAAGTGTTGCTCCTAAGCCATGGACCTAGAAATTAAGAGTGAGAGGAGGGCTTCTTGTAATGGAACATAGGGTTCTTCTGTCTGTTTTGTCCAAACAGTCAGAGCTGATCAGGAGGGGTGAGAAACCATAAAGGAACTCCATTTCACCTAACTCCTCCTCTTAGAACACTGAAGAGGCTTTTTCTAATAGGTCCAAGGAAGCATCCATCTATACCTCAGACCATTGTCAGTCTATATATATATATATATATATATATATATATATATATATATATATACATATACAGATATACATATATATATATATATATCCTTACAACTAAGTGGGTGCCTGGGGCCCTGTTGCAGAAGGCTCCTCTGAGAAGTGGAGAACACCGGGAACTAGGACCTGCCTTTAAACCCATCCATTGACCTCCTTGCTCCCTGCGTAGGATGAGGTGAGGAGCACAAGGGTGCCAGATCTGGCCCTCACCTGAAGATGGGGCTGTGTCCCCCAATCCGGGCCTTGGACCAAGCAAGAGGAGAAGGTACTGCGAGATAGTCCATGCCAGCCACCTCTTTCCGCAGACCCCCTGGAGCAGCCACAGCCTCCTCTGTTCCAGAGGGCAGTTTCCCATTGCATGAGGCAGACTCCTCAGACCGAGGCAGGGACACCGCCTGCTCGTTAGAAGTCCTCCGGGTTTTCTGAGGGATGCTCTCATTTGTTGGAGCTCCCGCATAGTCAAAAGGGCCTGGAGAACTAGGGTCCCTGACCAGAGGCAATGGGGGTGGCGGAGGTGGCTCTGGACCCTCTTCCCCAAGGCTGCCCCGGCGGGACAGAGCTGGGGAGGCCGAAGATGGGGTTCCTGAACTGGAATAGCGCCTCTTGCCACAGGGTGAAGCAGGCCGAGGGGAGGCTGGGATGGGCCCAGGAGCGCTGAGGAGTAGCCAGCTATCCTCCGGCGCTCGGCCTCCTGAGCTTGGACCGTATAGGCTCCAGGGATCCTCCGGGGTCCATGGTCTAGGAGAAGCCCGGGGCGAAGGCAGTGGAGAGCTCAAGCCAAAGCGGGAGGCTGCTTCATTAAGTTCAGACTCCACCTCGTCGCACGCGGCATACAGGGCAGCCTCGTCAGAAGCATCAGAGAAGAAGCTCCACGAAGACAGGCTGCTGCTGCCAGGGCTCGGGCTGAAGAAGGCACCTCCGCCCTGGCCTCCGGCCTCTCGGTAGCCCCCGAAGCCTTCTGGTGGGGGGTAATCTCTAGGAGAGCCGTCCCCCCAGGTTTCAGGCGTGTCCTCTAGCGAGGTCGGTGGGTCAGGCGTGGGAGAGATGGAGGTGATCCGGATGCTGGGACATTCCAGAACACGACCGCCCCCAGCACCCCCCGCACTCCCTCCTGGGCCCCCCAGCCTCACCGACCGAGCCGGCTGGCTCTCCCAGGTGCCAGGTGAAGGGGCGGGACGGGGTGGTGGTGAGTGCATGCCTGGCCGAGGGGGTGGGGGTCGAGGAATACCAATAGGGGCAGCACCATAAGGAAGGGGTTCCCCCAGAGCCAAACGACAGCATGAAGGGGCATCCTCTGAGTCCAGCTCTGTCAGAAAGGGCAGGGGGGGAGAGGGAGATAGAGAGGGAGACGCTGGTAAGATGTTTAAGTTCCTCGGAGGTCAGCTCCCAAAGCCTGACATGCTCAGCTAGAGGGTCTGCTAGTCTCAGGACAAAAGTAAAGTTGAACACCAGAAGACGAAAACGAGAGGCAGGCATGCCAGAACCTCGTATTCTAAATCCCTGGTCCTGGGGCCTAGGGTACCAGAGAAGGTGGGACTTAAGGTGACGACCGTGGGTTGAGGAGTGCTAGAGCCGGGTCTGGAGGTGTGTTTGCCCAGGCTCTGGGCTGGGCCGGGGGCGACTCACACATGAACCCAATTAGCAACCGTTCCCAAACCCCCAAACGGTGCTGGCAGAAACCCCAGTAACCATCGCAACCGTGGCCCGGGGGTGGGAAGGATGGGGGCATGTCTGTGGTGACGAGGGGAGATAGCTCCTCCCTCGACCCCCCCAAAAAAGGGGGCGGGGGTGCAGCCGAAGGGTGATGCGTGCGGGGCCCAGCTAGAGGGGGGGAGCGGGCAGCGCGGATTCCGTGCGAGCGGCGGCCGCCGCCCCCGGCTCAATCCCCGCCATCTGCCTCTCATTGCGGCTAGACAGGGGGAGGGGTGCCCCTGCACTGCCCGAAAGAGCCCCCAGCCCCAGGCGTCACGTCTGCAGAATGAGGCCTAGGTCCGAAAGCCTCGAACTCCACAGTCAACCCTCCCCTTTGCAAAGCCGGCGCCTGGGGTTCTTGGGGACCGTGGTTCCCTTCCGCCCCGCAACTCAAAGACAGTCGGCCTAGCCGGGAGGCGGCGCGTAGCCAACAACACCCCCACTCCCACCCCAGTCACGACCTAAAAAGGAAAAAGTGGTGTCATGGCCCCCAGCCTCACTTCCTCAGCCTTGGTAGTCCCCCAGTTCCCCTCAACCTCTGACCCAGCTCAACCCCCACCCCAGGCTCGCTGCCTCCAAGGTGTCCTGACTCAGATGGCCCCAGCCCTCCAGTCATGGCCCAAAGACCCTTCCCAAGCCCCACACTAACCTTCCCCAGGGCCCCCCGCGCCCAGCGGGGGAGCCTCCTTTTCCTCCCCGAACACCAGCTTAAATTCCAGCTCCTCATCCTCGCAGCTCGCAGCCCCCATGGGTCCGGCCGGAACCCCCAGGTCCTGCCTGGGTGGGAGGGGGAGGCTCTGGACGCTGCTGTAGCTTCACGCGCGGGTGGCTCCCTCCCTCCCTTTCTCTGAGACGCCCCCTCTTCTGTCGCTGCCGCCTCCCTCCGGACGCCCCCTCGTTATTATAGAAACTTTTCCAAACTTTTTTCCCCCAAACTTCTTCAAAGCGGCCCCCCCAGCCTGTCCCTGATTGGCTACCCGGGATGCTCCGGCCCCTCCTCCGGGGATGAGATGGGAAAACCACGCGCCCCTAGTCCTCCTCCACTCTCCCTCCCTCAGTCATCTCTCCAGTCCCACCCCCTCCAAAAGGGAAGAAAAAACTGAATTGGAAAGTGTTCCCTTCAAACCTTATAGGACCCTAATGGTACCCACTGGCTCGTAGTTGTGACAATCACTTCTCACTGGGAGCCCAAACCTCAGCCTATTAAGTCTCAGCTGGGGGCAGGGGGAGATCCGAGTCTCCTTAAAGAGGCCATATTCTGGGCCCCCGTGTAGCGGGCCCACGGTACATCCTTCCTTGCGATCTGAAGAGGAGTGTGCTAGCGTCTCCCAAGGAAGGCCGCGGCTTCTGCGCTTTCAGTACAAGTCTGAGAAGAGAGTTCTGGGATTGAGAGGCTCTGAGCTGATCTGGAGAGGAGGCCGGTCTCTCCTCCACCCTCCCTGAGACCACTCTACCTGGGCCTTCGGGGAGCTTTTGCACGCCTTACCCATCACCTCCACCGGCCACTCCTCCCATTCCCTGGAGATGAAGAACTTTCAGCTGTTCGGGAAGCCCCTCAGACCTCCCTAATCCCAGGAAGCCTTTGGAGGCCCACAGCCCCTTCTGGGCGTAGATCCAGGCCGGGCTTTGCCGGTACCCTTGTCCCAGCCACCTAGATAGGCCATTAATTAGCCTCCTCGGAGGAAGTCGGCTCCCTCCGCCCAGGAGCTGCAGACTAGAAGGCCTCTCAGATCCAAGGGCATGCCCCTCCCGGCTCTCCTAAATTCCTGACCAGGTTTGGAAGGGGCCCCGAAGCTGAAAACTTAGGCCCCTAGGGCTGGACACCTGTCACCTGGGCAGGGGAGGAAGACCTGGACTGGAGTTTCTAGGAAAGTCGTGCAGAGAGTCCCAGCTGGAAGAAAGTGGGACCGGGGGTTCTTGATTCGGACTGCAGGTGCTGCGGGACAGGGAGCAGTCACCGTTCTGCACGCATGCTGACCATTTGCTCACAACTTCCCTGGGAAGCCTCGCACATCTCTAGTCTCTGAATCCCCCCGGGCTCTGCGCCGCGCCCCCAGCAGCAGCCCTAGGCCAGCACCCGAAGGGTTAAGCGCGGCCCTCGGGTCAGACGTTTACAAACACTCGGGAGCCGGGCGGGGACCGCGCCCATTACTCTAATGAGAAACAGGCTCTGCGGGGCAGAGGGAAGGGGGGCCGGCCCGACGGGCCCCAGCTCCTTGGCGGCCGAAGCGGCGCCCCTCCTCCTCTCAGTCCTCCCCCGAGCCCGGCCTGGGGACCCCCCCAGCCCCGGGGGACCCCAATGACGTGCGGCGCTGCCCCGGCTGCAAGCCCAGGGCCGCGAGGCGGGCGGGGCGGGGAGGAGAGGCTTGGCGGGCGGGCGGGAAGAATGTTCCGAGGCCGAGCAGGGAGACGGCCTGGTTTGTCCCCCCACCCCCTTCCCTGCGGCTCTTCTCAGGTTACATTCCCGTCCGGCTTCACCTCGGAGCTGGAGAAACCCGCGGGCAGGGAGCACGGGGCCACCTCGAGAACGTCTACGGTCCTGCACCGAGGAGGAGGGGGGGCAGCGCCGACGACAGACCCGGAAATCAGCGCGGGCCCTGCTCCCCCATGCTCCCCGCTCTGCGGCGCAAGCAGACGCGCACATTCTTTTCAAATGTCATATTTCCTTTGATCCTGGGCAGTGTTTCTCCATGTGTCTGGCTCAGCTTCTGCCCAGCCAACCGCCTCCCCACCCACCCCGCTTTGTTTTCCTGGAGAACCCTCCCCCTTCCCTCGTCTGGAAGGCCGCGAGGGTTGACTTCGGATCCCTTTCCCCTCTCCTCCCAGTGACTCAATTTCCCCGCTGTGGTGTTGCAAAAGAAAGGAGGCAGAAGAGAGAGCCGTTTGGCGCAAGTAAAGTATTAATGTAAAGATTGCTCAAAAAGGCAAACTTTCGGATTAGGGCATACCCTGCTCCAAACTCTCCAGTCTGCCTAGGCTTCGGCAAGGGGTGGAACCTATGACCCCTGACTTGTCCTGCCTCGCTTTAGAGGCCAAGGGCTGGTAGTTAAGTTTAGATTGCCCTACACTTCAGCCCCCAGGCGACCACAAAGCCCAGCTTGGCAAGTTTCCCCGCCACCTTGTCTACCGCAGCCTCTCTGCCCCCTCCGGATTGGGCGCACCTGAATGAAGTTGACTTTGTTTTTGTCTTGTGCAGTCTGTTCAGTACGTTTGTTCTATACACTTTCTCCTGTGGTACAGACTGTCTTGGAACTCCTAATCCACTCCCAAGTGCCATCCCCAGTTTTTGTTCTGTATTCTAATTGATATTATTCGACAGATTTGGAGGTGGACCTTAACTTTCTTTTTTAATTACATAAAATGCGTTCATGGATTCTCTTGTAAATGATCCAAATCAGACAAAATATGTGGTCAACTCTGATAGTCCAGTTTTGTATCCTTTTAATATATATGCTTGTATGCAAACATATGCATGAGGTCGTGATAAACATACTTTTTCTCTTCTTTTTTTCTTTTTATTTTCCGAGACAGGGTTTCTCTAGCAGTCCTGGCTGTCCTGGAACTCCCTTTGTATACCAAGCTGGCTTCGAACTCACTGAAATCCGCCTGCTTCTGCCTCCCAAGTGCCGGGATTAAAGACGTGCGCTACCACCACCGGCTTTAAATTTTATTTGTTGTTGTTGAGTTGGTTTTGTTTTGTTTTGTTTTGATGGGGGCTCTATCTGCATGTATGCCTGCAGGCCAGAAGAGGGCACCAGATCTCATTATAGACGCTTGTGAGCCACCGTGTGGTTTCTGGGAATTGAACTCAGCACCTCTGGCAGAATAGCCAGTACTCTTTTCTCTCGCTCTTTTATTTTTCCAGACAGAGTTTCTCTGTAGCTTTGGAGCCTGTTCTGGAACTCTATAGATCAGGCTCACCTCAAAGTCACAGAGACCTGCCTGCCTCTGTCTCCCAAATGCTGGGATTAAAGGCGTGCACCACTGAAGCCCGACCATACTTTTTCTTGACTTGCTTTTATCCTCTCAGTTAATAAATGGTAGCTGGACCTCATTTCAGGCCTGTAATCTCAGTTCTTAGGAGACTGCTGCAGGGATATTATAAATTGGAGGCCTCTTCTGGCTACATAGCAAGATTTCTGTTAAGAAAAAATGAGTTATACTGAAGATCTTCTGTAAGTACATGTGCATCTGAAAGTGGCAGTCGCTCATAGGACTGGAAAATGTCATGTTGGCAGCTGAGCAGCCTTACCCGGCTCAGAACACTGAACTACAATAATGGGGCAGCAATAGTGGCGTGGGTATTGTGAGGGTAAGCAACTTCTTTCTGGTTGAATTTAAAGCCTGCTCCACAGGAGGAAACACATGCTTGATACTGTAAACGTGGCCAAGACTCCTGGACTAGGGAGCTCACAGTAGTAAATCTACTACATAGTATCAAACTGCTCTCTAAATTGTAGCTCTCAGACCCCGGTAGAGAACTTTCTTTGTGTTAGTGGATGGTAGTCAATGCAGAAATCACAGTTGACCAAAATGTAGAGAAGTGTCTGTGGAGTGCTCAGCCACAAATGCAACACCAGATCACTCCACACACGAGACTCGAGGATCACTGGGGAAGAAAAGAAAAAATGTATGAGCCAGAGGTCAGGGAGGACCCAAGTGAAACAGTCTTTTCTGGAGATTATAGGACTACTTCAGTCAGGAATGAAGGTGAGTTAACGGAAGTCCAGGAACACCCAGATAAAGAATTAGCACATCTATTTGGGGAGCACTCACACAATGGTGGTAAATAACGTCCTCCTTATGCTGCTCCTGGAGATGCAGCCTCTGCCTTTCAGGATGCTTCTACCACAACCCAGGAGACAGCAAGCAAGCCCCTCCTCTTTGTTACAAGGGGTCAAGTCTGAACACACTGAATCCACATCCTAAGGTGTGGCTATTACCTCAAGTCTACTGGCAGAACAAGGTGCCACCATACATGAACTCACACCAGCTGTGGTGGCCTGCACAGGATCAAGCCTGGAAACACTTGGAGGGGGGGGGATCATGGGCTCCCACCCCTAACAGAGGAGCTGTGGAACTTGGTGGCTTCTGGAAGGAGGAGTGTCAGTCTCCTTTAGAGATGTGGCCTCATACCCATGAATATATGAGCAGCACAAATTGGACTCAGTGTGTTATTATAAAAAAAAAAGGTGATTGAATTGAGGCTGGAGAGATGGTTCAGTGGTTAAGATGGTTCAGATGCTCTTCCAAAGGATCCAGGTTTGATTCCCAGCACCCATAAGGTGACTCACAATCTGTAACTCCAGGTCCAGGTCATCTAATGCCTTCCTCCAGCCTCTGAGAGCACCAGGCATGCATATGGTACACAGACATACATGCAGGCAAACATTCCTACACATAGTGAGAGTCCTGTCTCAAGAAAACAGTCTTTAAATTCTTATTAAAATCTCTTTGCCAGACTGTGGTGGCATACACCTTTGATCACAGCACTTGGGAGGCAGAGGCAGGCAGATCTCTGTGAGTTCAAGGCCAGCCTGGTCTACAGAGTAAGTTCCAGAACAGCCAAGCTCAACCCCTGTCTCAAAAAATAAAAAATTAAAAAAATTCTCAAAACTGGGTAGTAATGATGTATACCTTTAATCCCATCACTCAGAAGGCAGAAGCAGGCAGATCTCTGAGTTCAAGGCCAGCCTGGTCTGCAGAGCGAGTTCCATGACAGCAAGGGCTACACAGAGAAACCTTTCTCAAAAAAAAACAATAATAATAAAAAAGCTTTTCTCTGTAAGAAAATATTTTTCAACATTAACTGTGATTTTAAAAAAACATAATAAACAATGGCCATAAAAGACATTCGGGGTCAAGTATGGTGATGCAAGCCTTAAATCTCAACACTCCAAGGTCAAGACTACCAGGTCTCTGTGAGTTCAAAGCCACCCTGGTCTACATCGGGAGATCCAGTCCAGCCAGAGCTAATAGTGAGATCCTTCAAACCAAAGAAACAAACCAAAGCCGAGGAGATGGCTCAGTGGGTAAAGCCCTTCCCATGTGCAAGTGTGAGGACCTGAGTTCAAATCTTCAGCTCCCACATAAGGCAGGGTGGGATTGTCCATACAGGAGAGTCCTTAAACGTTCACGGGCCATTACCCTGATATAGTTAGAAATGGCAGACAAAGAAGGGCTGTCTCCTGCTGGAAGACTAGGAGACAGCCAAGGTTATCTTCTGACCTACACACAAACCTTGCCACAGACATTGCCTTCTCCATCACACACACACACATACACACACAGGAAAGGAAATGCAGATTGCAAAAAATTGTATTGACCATATATACATATACATATATATATATATACATCCAGATACATATATATATATGGACAGATCAGTAAATAGACACGTGATAGAGGAAAAGTATTGGATTAATCACTAATAATATTAGTATCATATATGTAATTAAGTTATATTAATTTTGCATGTATATGATATATGTAGTTTCATATATGTCTGCATGTTGAAGGCGCCAAGTTGATGTTGACTGTCTTCCTTGGTTGTTCTCCACTTTCTACGTTTGAGGCAGTCTCTCAGAACCTGTAACTCTCAATTCAGCTAGTCTAGTTAAGTTAGCTTGCTCAGTGAACACAGGGTCTGCCTCCCGAGTGCTGAGATCACAGGGGAGAAGCATTTCTGTGGGGTCTGCGGCATGCAGATTCCAATCTTCACAATTGTGTGGCAAGTGCTTTACCCACACGAGTTGCCCAGACAGAAAGCAATCTAAGGGAGAAGAGTTCATTTCCACTTACATTTCCACACCATCATGGCAGAGGCAGAGTGGCGGCAGCTCGAAGGGACAGTGGCGTCCGGCCCACAGTTAACAGCAGAGAGGGATCGATGCATGTGCCATAGCTAGCTTGCTTGTGCTCAGCTCCGTGTCCTACACGATTCAGGACCCCAGCCTAAGGAACGGTACTGTCCATACGGTGGGTTGGGCCTTCCCATCCAAGTAAGGCAGTGGGGCAGTCTGCCGCAGGCATGCCCGCCCAGTTCAGACCATCTGTCATCATTCTCTTTCCAGGGATTCTTTTTTTTTTTTTTTTTTTGGTTTTACGAGACAGGGTTTCTCTGTATTGTTTTGGAGGCTGTCAGTCCAGCCTGGCCTCGAACTCACAGAGATCCGCCTGCCTCTGCTGGGATTAAAGGCGTGTGCCACCACCACCCGGCCCTCTTTCCAGGGATTTTAGGTGTGACAAGTTGGTAAAGCTAACCCACTGAGCTGTCTTCCCAATCCCGCTCTTTGGTTTGGAAAACGGAAAACTACACGTGACAGTGCAGCGTGTAAGGTGCTCACTGCCAACCTGACAGCCCAAGTCCTCAAGACCCATGAAGGAGTCCTCTGACCTCTAGACACATACCAAGGCGCATGTGTGTGCGCACATACAAATGAATCAACGTAATAAATTTTAAAAAGAAAAACGGAGGTCACATATTAGTCTACCATGAGAATAAACAAAATTTATAGTTTCTATATTGAGTCTTAGCCTTTTTTGAAATTTATCAGCAACTGTCAAAATTATCTTCCCATATCTTTTACTTTTTAAAATTCCGTTTTAATTTATGTGTTGTGTGTGCATGCCACAGCACACATGTAGCGGTTAGAGGGCAGTTTGTGGAAGCCAGCTCTCTCTACCATGTAGGTTCTGGGTGTGGGGTTCAGATCATGAGGCTTGGCACAAGGCCTCTGCCTGCTAAGCCATCTCATCAGCCTCAAATGTATCTTTAACTTTTGTGTCGTTGTTAATTGTTTGTACACACACGTATGCTTGCTCGAGTGCATACCTGCACACACACACACACACACACACACACACACACACACACACACACGGACACACACACGGACACGGACACACCTGCCGTGGTGCACTTGTGGAGGTCAGGGGACGACTTTGTAGAGACAGTTCTATCTTTCTACCATCATGAGGGTTTGAGAGATGTCGCCGAGGTCACCAGTTTTATACAATGAGCACCTTTATGAGCTGAGTTTCTAGCTAGCCCCACATACATATTTCAACAGACAATAGAGACAAATTCATTGCTCTACGTCACCCCAGTGATAAAACTATGTTTTTATCCTAACAAGGTCTTGCTGTGCAGCCCAGGTTGGACTGAAACTCACTATGTAGACCAGGTTCAAATTCAAAGAACTCCACCGGCTTTGGCCTCCTGGATGCTATGATTGAAGGGATGTGTTACCAGCAAGGTGGTGGTGGTGGTGCTTACCAGGCAGAGGCAAGAGGATCTCTGTGAGTTCAAGGCCAGCCTGGTCTACAGAGTGAGTTCCAGAATAGCTGAGGCAATTACACAGAGAAACCCTGTCTCTAAAAACTAAAAGGAAAAAAGGGGGAAGAAATTTTTTTAATTTAATTTTTTTTTGGTGGGGAGGTTTGAGATAGGGTTTCTCTGTGGCTTAGGAGGCTGTCCTGGAACTAGCTTTTTATAGACCAGGCTGGTCCTGAACTCACAGAGATCCGCCTGCCTCTACCTCCCGAGTGCTGGGATTAAAGGCGTGCGCCACCAGGCCTGGCTCTTTTCCAGTTTTGAGGATAACAATATCCTGACAAAAAGTAACTTCAAGGAGAAAGAGTCCATTTAGCTCATGAGTTCAGGTTACAGTCCATCATGACAAGGAAGCATAGTGGTGGCAGCTTGAGGCAGCTGGTCCTATGTCTGTCAGGAGAGAGGGATGCAAGCTTGCTAGTACTCACCTCTCCCTCCCGCCCTCCCTCCCGCCCTCCCTCGCCCCCCCATCTCCACTCTTAAAATAATCCAGGATCCCCGACTTTAGGAATGGTGCCCCACATGGCAGATTGGTCTCCCCACCTCAAAGGCCACAATCAAGGTAATCGCCAGTGGGCGTCCACAGCAGCCCATCCCCAGATGGTTCTAGACGTTGTGAAGCTGACATTTAATACCAACCATCTTTATCCACCGCTTAGGGAACTCCTTCCCTCCCCTCCCCTCCCCTCCCCTCCCCTTCTCTTCCTTCCCCTCCCTCCCCTCCCTTTCTCTTCCCTCCCCTCCCCTCTCCTTCCCTCCCCTCCCCTTCCCTTCCCTTCCCATGCAGCTTCTTTCTAATTCCACTTCCCTCTCTTCACAGACCCAAGGTAAGACAGTCCTCCTTAAAAGAGGAAAAAGGAAAGAATTCTTTGTTCCTTCTTCACTACCTGATATATTATCCCTGACAGATTCCCCTGCTGTGAAACATGAAAAATAGCAACCCAGAGGCAGATATTTAGGTTCAAGCTAAAAGATCCGAGAAGCAAAACAGCCAAGCCAATAGCTCTTCCATCTACCCAGGCTGAAACAATCTTCCCTGTGTGTGGCTGGAGACCAAAATGCCCCAGACTGAACATCTGCTCCTGTCTTACATACCTTAAGTGAGGGATTAAAGGCATATGATCCCAAGTGCTGAGATCACCCTTATGTGAGCTGTTTCTCTTTAGGACTGAATCAGTTTCATGTAGCTCAGTGTAGCCTTGAACTAACAGAGATCCATCTGCCTGTCTTCTGAGTCCTGGGATTAAAAGTGTATGCTAGCTCTATGGCTAGCTAGCATGGTTGCTGGGATTAAAAGTGTGTATTACCACTGCCTGACCTCTATGGCTTGTGGCTAGCTTTGCATTCTGAACCTTCAGGCAAGCTTTATTAAATCATAATATATATATATATATATATATATATATCACCACAATTCCCCTTTTTTGTCTAATATAAAAAGAAGGCTACAACTTGTTGGGGGTGATACTGAACACCCCTTGAGGAAGGGAGGGAGAAAGGGAGGGAGGGAGGGAGGAAGGGAGGGAGGGAGGAGACTTGGAGTCAATGACACAGACTCCGGGAGTAGCAAAAGCTAACCCGTTCATAGGGGAATCAGGCTTGTCCCCTCCCTAGTTCCCATCAGGTCAGGAGGCTGGCTCTGCTATGTTGTCCTTCCCTCATGGGTGTCTCCAGTCAGGTGTCTCTGCATCCGCAGTCTCTGGGTGTAGCAGCAGACCTTAGGTTGGCTCAGGGAGGACATGCCTGTCAGGAATGCTCATGTGGGCTGGTTTGGGCGGCATCACTGCAGCTTGGGTTGGCAGACCATCAGTTTCTCCTACAATAGCTAAGATAAGAAAAACTATATACAATAAGTATGTATAATATCTATAGGCAATAAGTACATCAACAATGTCTAGTCCATTTGCATTTGAAAAATTCAGAGAAAATACTCTATTATCTAGTCTATCTTGGTGAGTCCAAAGACTTGTACCTAATTTTACTTTCTATTCTAATTTGCATTATCAAGTTATATTTTAATGCCTCTCAACCTTTTACACTTTACACCTGTTTAGTTTCTTTTCTGAGTCTAGTAAACTATAACTGCAACTATCTAATCTGGAACTCCCTCAGAGGCCCAAGAAGGAAATATTGTTAACTGAGTAAACAGGAAGTGTGAGCTAGCATGAGAAATGACGAAAACAGCTGGCTGCCTGGACAGTCACCCAAGACTCTCTACATACTGTCAGCAGTCGGGGCTGCCTGGACAGTCACCCAAGACTCTCTACATACTGTCAGCAGTCGGGGCTGCCTGGACAGTCACCCAAGACTCTCTACATACTGTCAGCAGTCGGGGCTGCCTGGACAGTCACCCAAGACTCTCTACATACTGTCAGCAGTCGGGGCCAGGGCACTTTCTTGCCCGTTGGCTACTTTTGCCACAAAGAAGTAAACTCCATGTGGAGTGTCTTCAGCCCCCATCATCTTCTCTGAAGTTGCCTGGGGCTGCTAGGAGCAGACATGTCTCATTGTCATTTTTTTAAAAATGCAATTATTAAAATATCTTAATTGCCATATTCTGTAAATCTCTTTAAGTGTTTGAGATCTGTCTTTCAAAAATATGTCTCTGTTCGATCTTGAAAAACATACCTAATGTGATTACAAGTTCAACTGTAATAGGTGACTAATTACTAACCTACATTTCCTTATTATCTTTTTTGTTGCTAATAATAACTTTCAAGGACTAGAAATTTGCATTACATTGTTAAATGAGCTGAATAGGTATAATAGAAATATATGCATAGTATGTTTTAACAAAATTAATCTCAAATTTGTATCAATATACAATATTTGTGTAAATATACAGAAGTCCAATCCAATGTAAAATATTTATAATTAGTAGTTGCTTTTTAAAAGTAGATTCAATAATCTACCCTTTTATTTATCATATCTATATTCCTTTTATTTTCAAAACAAAAACCTTAAACCTAATGCCCTTTGTTCAACTTTCTTCCTGATCATAACCAACATTTTGTAACCAATCCCCATAAACAATGAAAAATATCCATAACCCAATGAGTGACCAAAAACTACCCACCTCACCTTTTGGGAATGTGGGCATCACGTTCTTAAAGTTACTTCCTGCTTTCTGGGGGCAAAGACATCTTTAGGAGATCCTGAAATTTTTTTGGTTAATTGTAAAGCAGTGTCATTTGTTGTCCAGTCTCTGTATGAGGAGGAAGTGCACGGTTTGTCTCAAGTCCTGGATCATCTCAGGTGGCCACCTCGAAATTTTTCTGAGCAGTTTGTAGTCCAAAGTTGATCTGTAGTTGGTGATATTCAGATAGCGTCATCATAGTCCTGGTGTCAAAGGTCACCGATAGGCGTGCTCATGGTTCACTGTAGAAAAACTGGTAGAGACTCAAACTGAAAATCATGGACACGAAGACAGATGAAGCCTTTTTCTAGAATTAATACTCTATATGACCACTAATATCATGACAAATCATTAAAATGCATATATATTAATCTTACAAAATTTTAGATAATATTATAAACCAAAGGATTATGAGATTAGGGGAAATAAAATAGTCCTTCAACATTTGCTTTTCTTCTGTTCCATATCAGGTGGCTCTTCTGACATGAGATAGAGAATTTTGATTTTTTTTTCTTTAACAAGCATGCTTGGGTTTAGAGAGGCACACTCCAACTCCAAAGCCAGCTTTAATCTTTAATTGGAGTGGGACTACAAAAAGACCATTTGCATTATATGTCTCTACAGAAAAGCAAAGAAAAATCTGGGAAGATTTATAAAATTTTATCTTGTTGGAAATATACCAGTAGGCCAATTTACTCTTTTCTTGGGACAATTTTTCTGGATGATTTGTCATTTTTCTTCAGATGTCTCATTTGTCCAGTGGTCTCCAGATTCCTTAGTTGGATACCTTTATTCTCTTGAAAAGACAAAAGTAAAATCCTTCCTCAACCCTAAATTTTGGGGAGGTTTTCCTTTGGCAAGTTATATCTGATCAAAGGAAAAGCATTTGTTAGTTTTATAAATTAGCTTAGATTAAACGGCCATGTTGCTTGATGAACTATCATCTCTTCTAATTAAGAGGTATCTTGTTCAAATTGAATCTTTATTTTTTGATGGTATCCATAGCTTTTCTTCATCTGTGGAACACATGTCCTGGCTTCCATTCGGAGGTCAACATATCTTTGAAGTATACTGACAGATTTAATTCTGTAGTTTTCTTCTATTATTCAATGTCTCTCCGCAGCTGTTGCTCCTTTCTCATTCCCATTCAGAAAATTCAAAGTTAATAAAGCATTATGCAATCTATTTCTGGAATTCTTTATCATCTCTTTCTGTTTATTTAGCATATCCTTTCGAGTTTGTGGTCTTTCTATGCCTGCCTGTCCTGTAGGATTGTGTGGTATGCCTGTAATATGCTTTATATTATAATAAGCACTGTTTAATTTTCTTAAAGATATATGCTGGAGCATTGTCTGTCATTATTTGTTCAGGTACACCCATGGTAGCCATAACTTCTAGCAAATGTATAATTACCAAATCAGCCTTTTCCAAACTCAAAGCAGTTGCCCATTGAAAACCTGAATAGGTATCAAAGGTGTGGTGTCCATATTTTAATTTTCCAAGATCTACAAAATGGAACACATTGATCTGCCAGATTTCATTCCCTTGAGTACCCTTTGGGTTACTACCTGCAGGTAGTGGAGTTTGGTTGTATAAAGAACAAGTAGGCAGGCCGGGCGTTGGTGGCACACGCCTTTAATCCCAGCACTCGGGAGGCAGGGGCAGGTGGATCTCTGTGAGTTCGAGGCCAGCCTGGTCTACAGAGTGAGTTCCAGGACAACCTCCAAAAACAATACAGACAAACCTTGTCTCGAAAAACCAAAAAAAAAAAAAAAAAGAAAGAAAGAAAAAAACAAGTAGGCAAAAAAAAAAAAAAAAGAAAAGAAAGCCGGGCATTGGTGGCACACACCTTTAACCCCAGCACTCAGGAGGCAGAGGCAGGCGGATCTCTGTGAGTTCGAGACTGGCCTGGTCTACAAGAGCTAGTTCCAGAACAGTCTCCAAAACCACAGAGAAACCCTGTCTCAAAACAAAACAAAACAAAACAAAACAAGTAGGACATTTCCTTATAGTTTCCTTGGCTTTTTCCAAGTGATGGAAAAGTCTTTTTTCAAACCTTTGCTATTGACAAGTTTTTTTTTTATGAAATTCTGATGCCTTTAGCACATTTCCTATCAACAGTTGATCAATTTCATCATTACCTTGTGCTAGAGGGCCTGGAAGACTTGTATGGAATCAGATGTGTTGTATATATGGGATGATTCCTGCCCCTGATTATGTCTTGTAACTGAATAAATATTAAAATCAATTACATGTATAAAATCATCTGGTATAAATTCAGTGGTCTCAATGTGTAAAACTACTCAGCAACCACTTCTGGGTTCAGGCACAACCGGGTGACCAGTTTCGCTCCAAATGACCTGGCATTGCCAGCGCTCTCTGAAGCCTGCACATTCTGCTCCAGGTCTGTACCACGTGGGGATATCAGAAACATCGAACTGATAGAGATCTCTTATGGGGAACCAGCGTGCATGATTATGGATGCTAAGAGTTACAGACTCTTCAGTGCTGATCTACAGGCTCAAGACCCAAAAGAGTCAAAGGTACAGATAAAATCCAAAGGCTGGCAGGTAGACAACCAACCCTTCTCATTAGAGGAGGTGAGTCTTTGTTTTATTCAGGTTTGAGTTGACTGGATGAGGCTCACTACATTACTGAGAATAAGTTGTGTTTATTTAAAGTTCACCAACTTGGATCTTAATCTCATCAAAAGAAAAAAAAAACCCTCTCCAAATTGATATACAAAATTAGTCGTCACAAGGGCTATATAGCTCAGTTGGTGGAATTCCTTGCCTAGAAATGCCCAAACCTTGAAGTTGATTCTTAATACTGCTGAAACTGTGCTCCCAGCAGAAGGATCAGAAGCTCAAAGTCATCCTCAGTGGCATGGTGAGTTTGAAGTCAGCCTGGAACAAAAGAGAACTGCCTCAAAACCAACCCAAAGTTCTTCTCCGACACAAACAGCTTGCCCACCTCCTGCTGTGATACAAATACAGCCAGGAAGTACAGGGGAGTTGTTGCCTGCTGGTGTAATCCCCAGGCAATGGTACCCAGATTTGTGGATGGTTTCAGCTTCCCATCCTTTGTGTAGACATTTCCGGGGCATTCTCTAAACCTTTGGAGTCTAAAGCTTCTGCTGGAATAACCTACAACAGTTTCAACACGACACCTAGCACTGGCTTTCCCTCCTCCCTAGGTCACAATCATTGCTCCTTTGCTCCCATTTTCCGAAATCCCCCGCTGAATGCACTGCCTGCATTCCTGTCCTTACTCGGTTTCTCCTTTTGCAAAATCCAATGTTAGCCTGCCGCCCTCTCAGAGCAGGGCAGGATCCTGGAGGCAGGAACTGATGCAGAAGCCATGGTGGGGTGCTGCCTACTGGCTTGATCTCCATGATTTGCTCAGCCTGTTACCTTATAGAACCTAGACCACAAACCCAGGATGGCACCACCTCAATGGGTTGAGGCCACCCTCATTGATCACTAATTGAGAAAGTACCTTACAGCTGGGCTTCATGGCAGCATTTCCTCAGCTCCTTCCTCTCCATGACTCTGGCTTGTGTCAAGTTGACACAAAGCCAGCCAGTACCCTGGGATTACAGTTGTATACCACCATGCCTGGCCCACAGCGCTCACTTCAGCTAGGCTTTCATCATTCCCCAAGTCCCAGTCTCACGTTTTCTCTTGCCTGCTCGGCTCAAGGTCCCTTGAGGATGCAGCATGTGGCATTCACATGGAGGTGGCTGATGGCGCTCCACCTCCAATCATAAATCTATTCCCACAGTTTGTGTCCCCTCTACATTTCATCTCTGAGTTTATGGCCTTACCATTCTGTCAGCATCCCAAAACAGAAGCTTAAATATTCTGATTTTCTCACCACCCCATCTTTCTACCTCTACCTCAGGAATATCTCCAGACAGAGGATCTGCCTCTCCAGCCCCGAGGCACCAATTCCATTCCCAACATCACTTGAGTTACTCTCACTGCAGACTTTGGTTTCTGTCTTTCAGTGGGACTTTCCTTTGGGTTACCAGTTCACAAACAATGACGCGGCACTGATGACTGGCTCCGCCCCTCTCAGCCTACCCATCCCAGCGCCCAAGCTACAGCAGGCAGGTGTGTCTATCTAGTCTCCTACTCCAGTAACACAGGCTGCTCACGTGTTCTGCTGTATTAAAGTTTCACCACTGTTCGCTGCAAGCGCCCAGCCTGCTTGAGAGGCCGAGGTCACCTGGAAGCCGTATCTGACTCTGTGTTTAGGATTTTTTTTTTTCAGCTTTCTCAGGTCCTGTATGGATTTATGTGGGGCACTTTGGAGAACAAATACAGCAAGCTTTCTTTTGGGCCTCCAGCTCACAAACAACGCAGAGACTTGTTATCAATCATGAAAGCTTTGCCTTAGCTTAGGTTTTTTTTCCCAACTAGCTCTTTTTGTTTTGTTTTGTTTTGTTTTTCAAGACAAGTTTCTCTGTAGCTCTAGAGACTGGCCTGGAACTCGCTCTGTAGACCAGGCTGGCCTTGAACTCACAAACATCTCCTATCTCTGCCTCCCAAGGGCTGGGATTAATGGGGTGCACCACTGCCACTCAGTGCTTTCAACTACTCTTAAACTTAAATTAACCTGTTTTTATTTATCTACACTAGGCTCAGTTACCTCTTCTCTGTACCATATGTCTGACTTCTTTACTGGCCTACTGGCATCTCTTCCCTTGCCTGGATTCATCCCAAGTTCCTCTCTTTCCCAGAAAGCCTTGCCTAACCTCTTCCTACTTAGCTACTGGCCCTTCAGCTCTTCATAAGCCAATCAGAAAGCACCGTGGCAGACACATCTTCACAGTATACTAAAGATTACCCCACAACACTGTCTCCATTTTAATGTAAACTCCAAGCAGCAACTGCCTTGGTCTGACCTATAGCATAGAACTAAAACTTTCCAGTTTACAATATTTAAAAAAAAAGTGAAATCCTTCAAGCCTATGGGAGAGAACTCTGGAAGGTGCATCTCCAGGCTGAAGCAGTGACCACTTAAGTACCCTTGATGGACATTTGTGTTATTCCTTCACTCCACTCCAGAGCAGCGGTTATGCCTCTTCTTCCACAAAACCTATCCCAGGGTACATAAATTTCCTGGTCTTAGTTATCCTATTTAAAAAAAAAATCACTCAACTTGTCACTTTCAAATTAGACTTCCTTAAACACCAAAAGAAGTTTTTAAAGAAAATCCATGAAGTACATACCAAAAGTGTGATCCATTACCAAAAAATAAAAATAAAGACAAGCTGGATTGGATTTTTATCCAAAGTAAAACTTTTGCCTGTCACACTAGGCATAAAGGAGCACCCCTTTAATCTCGGGAGGCAGACTCAGATGGATCTCTGTGAGTTCGAGGCCAGCGTGGTCTACATAAAATGTTCTAAGAGAGCCATGGCTATGTACAGAGACCTGTCTAAAAAACAAAACACTTGTCTTTGAAGAGGAGACATTTAGTACTTCTAGTAATCATAGCACTGGAGAGGCCGAGGTAGGACTGCATTTCAGACCTGTCTGGAAGACAAAGGAGAAGGGAGGAAGGGAGGGAGGGAGGAAGGGAGGGAGGGAGGGAAGGAGGGGAAGTCATACAAAAAAATCCTTACTTTTTTGTGTGTTTGTTGTGGAGTTTTGCTGTTTGTGTTTTCCAAGACAGAGCTTCTCTGTATAGCCTTGTCCTGGAACTCCATGCCTGTGCCACCAACACCCAGCAGAAGAAAGTATTTTAACTAACATTTTAAAAGGTTTGACTCTAGAATATGTAACTGACTTTTAAAACTTAATAATAAGATGCCCTTTTATAAAAGAAACAAACACCAGCAACAGCAGTGCTGAGGGTCAGTCCCACCCTGCCTATCTTGCTCAGTCCCTGGGTTCACTCCCACTTCTGTTCTGAAACCAGAAAAGCAAACAAGCAAAAGCCTTAATAAAAACATGGCAAGGAATCCAATAAAATACAAGCAACCACAGTAGCGGTGCACACCTTTAATCCTGATGGGGAAGTCCTGTATATATGTCAATAAAGCACTGTTGGCCAATAGGGAAGCAAGATAGGTGGGACTAGGAGTCCAGGAGGACTCTGGGTAGGAGAAACACAGGGAGTCACGATGTAGCCCGCCAGAGAAGTTAGATGTCCAGAACTTTTCTCCAGTAAGAGAAATACTTAGGTTAACAATTATGGGATAAACACTTAAGTCAGAGCTAGCCAGTAAGAAACAAGCAAGGCCAACAGCTTCATAACTAATACAGCCTCCTGTGTGTTTATTTGGGGACTACAACGAGGCAGAGCCCAGGCGACTGGTGGGGAAAAAAAACCAAAGTGGCTGGCAAGGAAAAGACTTCTCTCTAAAATGGTGTCAGGAGTGGGATCATGAATTTCCACGTAGAATGACAAAAGATTTAAAGGAGTTTTAGAAACAAAAGAACGGAGAAAAGCATGGGTTCTTGGTAGCAGCATTTTTCTCAGGTGGGCTCTATTTTGCTAGCGACAAGCAGAGACTCAGGTGGCTCAATTAAGGGAGTCTTCCTGACTCAGCATTAAAAAAAAAAGATTCTTTTAAGAGGCTCTGCTAACAATTAAAAGGTGTGTACCTACAGCTGGAAATGGTAATGACCACATCTCCAAGCCAACAGCTTTTGCTGGATGTCAACAAAGACTAAGTCGATGAGCTGGAGTCATGCTTATGCCCGCCATGTTGGAAAAACTGCATTTTAAACTGCCGCGGTTTTAACAGATAGGACACGTGGCCAGAAAAACATAAAGATTTACAGTAAAGTCAGACTTGGATGAAGAAAAACCTCTAAAGGTTTACAGTGTGTTTAAAAATATACATAGGACTGAGAGTGAAAAAGAAACGGCATAGTGGTAAATAAATAGAGAAGCCAGATGTGGTGGCACACGCCGGTAGAATTTGCTCTAGAGGCAGAGGCAGGCAGATTTCCAAAAAGAAACCCTGTCTCAGAGAAAAATAAATAAAAGTAAAACAAATAGAGATAAATAATAATAGATAAATAAATAAGCCACGTAAAGATGGAAAATACACAGAAAGTCTGGATACTGTATGCTATTGTGTTTTTCAGTTTTTTGATTGCTAAGGAAGGAACAACTGCTAAAGTACACTTAATTATAAAAGCTGCTGAATTAATTCAACTTATATCTTTTAAAAATGCCTTGACTTCAAAATTTAAGTATAAGGATATGTTACTTGGGAAAAAAGTTTTTGTTAATGTTTCTACAGAAAATGAAAAGCTGAGGATTCCTTCCAGGCTTCTGTGGTTTGATGAACCAAGACCCCTGGAAGCAGTGGGCCAGGTGTTCCAACAATTGAAACAGCTAAGATGATGCAGTCTTACAGACCCTAAAAATAAGGACTTTTACAGGTTTCTGCGTTTTGTCATGATCCCCATGGTATGAACAGCGCCCCCATCCAGCATGAAGCAGTTTGGAATGAGCGACGTCCAAATCCCCATATTGTTTATAAATCTTTGTTTTCATTTGAATGGGGTTGTTTATAATTAGTTAATGATCACAACGAATCTCTTTTTAAAGGAAAAAGGGGATTATGGTATGGAAATGAGTACTTTGTATTGGTATGGTTTTACATTTATTGATACAAATTCAAGGTCAATTTTGTGATATGTATATTTCTCCTCTTGATTAGGTATTGTGCTTATACTGATCTTTTAAAACATAATGAATAATTAAATACAGACTATAGATAGTTACTTATAATAGTCAAAACTTATAGTTAGGTTAGTTTGATTTTCTAGATATACAGAGATATATTTGAGATAGATAGTCTTCAAACCTTTCAAAGACCTTCAGAAAATTGCATTTAAAATGGTTTAGGGTTTTCTTGACACTGAGAAATGTCTGCTCCTGGCAGCACCAATTATGTCTGAGAGGAAGATGGGCATCGAAGAAACTCGTTATGGAGTTTGCTTTCAACATGGCAAGATTAGCCATTTGGGCAAGAAACTGCTCTTGCCTAGACTGCTTGACTGTTGCTGTATAAACTGGACATGCAGGACCCACAGGAAAGTGACCGCTGAACTCAAACAGTCCTTCAGGGTTCCTGCTTCATGGAAGAGTCTACGAGACTTTCTGCAGGACACAGAAATTGACTGACAGACTGCCAATGCAGATGGACAGTTTGAAATTTCTTGCTTTGCTGAGAAGTCTTCTGGACACATTGTGGCCTATGGGCTAAAGATGGATGCCCCAATGTTACAGAGGAACTTCAGGTGACTGTCCAGGTAGCGAGATGTCTCTGTCAATCCTAGTGTTTATATATTATCCTTCTGTGGTCTTTGATAGAGTTGAAGGCAGATAGTTATAATTATAGTTTTCCTTAGTTATGATAAAAGATAAGCTGCATATAGAACTTTGGACTCACAAGGATGGGATGGATGATATTTTCTTTAAATCTTGCTGAATGTTGATGGGCAAAATATTGAAACTGTGTTCTTGCTTGATAGCTGTTCTGTTATATATAATTTGACTATGTTAAAGTTAAGACCTTTCTTTTTGTTTAGACAGAAAAGAGGAGATGATGGGGAAGTCCTGTGTATATGTCAATAAAGCACTGTTGGCCAATAGGGAAGCAAGATATGGCTGAGCCATTCCATTCCCAGATGGCTATTCACAGGTGAGCACGTACACCACACTGGGGTAATGGCTCAGGGGTAAAGCCCTCACCCAGTCCACATGAGACCCCCAGTCTTATTCCTCAGCACTACAGGGGAAAATCACATGCATAAAAGAGACAGAAGCGTGTTGTACCTGTGCAGTGGGATACTACTTACCAATAAAACGTATGATCTGCTGAAACACACAACAGCAATGGAGCCTGCCAATGGGATGTGTGATCTTCCAGTGCACGTAACACAGGGGAACAATAGTCACACTGAAAGAGATCAAGACAAAAGGACACTTGCTGTGTGATCCCGTTTATATAAAATGAACTGCAAGCCAGTCTACAGCAGCAAATTGGGATCTTTAGGAAAGAAGTGAGACTTATGGACAAGACAGCGCTGGAAGGGACATGAGGAAACTCGGGGTGATGAATGGGCTCACTGGCTATGGCGCTGATATTGGTACAAATGTAACTCCGATCAAATTACAGATGTTCTGGTTCAACAAAATCGAACTGTCTCAAGAGAAACTAATAGCTATGCTTAAAGAAGGACCCTCCTCAGTTTTCCTCAGATAAACTTACCCAAAAAGAACAGTGCATACAGTTGGGGTTAAAGGTCCTCCTCGTCTGACAGTCTTTGTGTGCCTTTGGCTGACTACTTATTAACCTCACTACCTACTCCCTCTCAGGCAACCCACTTCTCTGACACGATCTTCCTATGTAGACCAGACTGGCCTGGAATTCACTGTGTGTCTCAAGCTGACTCACAGTGATCTGCTTGACCTAACCTCCCAAGCACAGCTTGAGTGTACAGCACCATGCCCAGCTTCCTTAAAATGGGGCTACTATGGGCTGGAGACATGACTCAGCATTAAGGGCTCTTGTGCTCTTCCAGAGAGTATAGGTCCAATTCCCAGCACCCACAGGGAAGCTGACAACTGTCCCCAGGAATCCAAAGCCCTTTCCCACACATGGTGCACAGATATATGTTATAGGCAAAATTCCCATGCACATAAAAAATAAAAATAAAAATTTTAAGTGGGGCAAATGCTATCCTAGCTCACGACCCCGTGTAATGACCGATGAGAGTCTTTAAGCCACCCCACGCGCCAGGTAACATTAGGTCCCAGGTCTGAGGTGGTTGGATTCGGCTGTTTACTTTCTTTTTTTCTCTTTTCCTTTTTCCTTGCAGATAGCAGCCCTGGCCCCAGGGACGCACATGGGAAAACAATGAGGAGGAAGCAGAGGAGAAGACGGCTCTGGGACTGTGCTCCTCTGAGAACAGGGCCTAAGACCTGGAGTGGGGCCTTCGCAGGGAGGGGGTGTCCCATTTGAGGAGGAAGAGAGGGGGAACTCATAGTCAGGGTAGGAGGGGATGTCAATATGCAGGTGTTGTTTTCTACTGATTAGGACTCAGACCCGCCAGAGACCATGTGAAGTTCTGTCTCACGAGGCTCAGGAGGAACTGGACGCTGAGGGCCAACCCTCAGAGAGTCCAATCTCCTCTCTTGTCCCCACACTATCATCTGCTGGAGAGATGCAGAGAAGGGCCTCTTACAGGAGGCACTGTCGGGGTCAAAGGGCCCACCACACCCGAGTGGCTGTCCCTGGCACAGAGCCCATGCTCAGGTCAGCAACACAGGGGGTTTTAACCAAGATGAGTACTCTTGTGCCAGACACTTTTAGCAGCGACCACACCCTCCTGACAACAAGCCTTAGAACACTAACTTCCTAGTGGCTCCCTCTGGACAGATGTCTGGGAGAAGGGAGAGAACATCTGGAAAGTGAGTAATCAAGGGTGCTGAGAAGAAAGGGTGGAGCTGGGCACTTACCAGAAGGCAGAGCTTTATGAACTATATGAAAAAGGCCAGCACTTACTACTGATGATAATGACGTAATGACGCCTGGCCAGAGAAGAAAACAGAAAGTAAGTTTGCCATGTGGACTTCCTTGTTGGTTCACAACATCCTCCTGGACTGGAATCACACACACACACACACACACACACACACACACACACCACCACCACCACCACAACTATCACCACCACCACATTTGTCTCAACCAGAATCTTACCATAGGCAAACTCCCCTAGTAATTTGTTAGGTCCACGTTTGAAAAGCAATGAGTTTCTGGGTTACAGCAGAGTAGGGCGGGAGGGAAGCTACTTCAGCTCTAGACAGGGTCCCAGGGGAAAACAGGAGGCTGCAATTCAGCGCCACTGTGCACACTCCATGGATTCCTCTCAGAAAAATTAGGAAATGAAGATTTAAATAAGAATGTAGGGGCCTGGGGAGATGCCTCAGTAGCTAGGAGCTGCTCTTCCAGAGGGTCAGAGTTTGGCTCCCAATAACCAAGTCGGGTGGCCCACAACAGCCTGTAATCCCATTCCAGGGCATCTGGCACCTTCTTTTAGCCTTTTCTAAGTAAATCTTAAAAATAAGTAAACAAACAAACAAACAATTAAATAAATAAATAAAGCTGGGAGGTGGTGTTGAACACCTTTAGTCCCAGCACTCAAGGGGCAGAGGCAGGTGGATCTCTGAGCCAGCCTGGTCTACATACAGAATTAGTTCCAGAACAACCAGGGGTATGTACAGAAATCCTGTCTCAAAAAACAAGCAACAAACCATAAAAGACAAGAAAATAAAAACCATTCGTTAGCCACCTCTACACCCCCTTTCCGGGAACAGCTCCTCTCTACTTGATCATTCAGTTTTGCTTGTTTGAGGCAGAATCTTACCACATATACCAGGCTAGCCTGGAATTCCCCATCCTCCTTCCTCAGCCTCCCTAGTGCTAGGCCTGTTGTAGGGTCCAAAAAGATCCAAAACAACCCAAACACTAGAGAGCCCATGCAAAGAAAGATCTTTATCAAAAGGACAGCAAAAACAGACCAACCAGGGACAGCAGAGCAGAGTCAGGACTATGTCCACAAACATTTGTCTCAGCAAGCTCTTAAGCAGAAAAACCACAAACATCTGTGACAAGTTCCAATTCCATTTTCCACCAATCAGGATTCAGGGATAGGGACTTTCCTAGGTGTAGGGTAAAAGGGTCAGCCATTGAAACCCATTTTGGCCCTGACACCAGAGCCAACTCTGCCTCTGACCAACAGAAACACAAAACCAGCCAATCCCTGAGCAGGAAATCAACTAGTCCCTCGGCACCCTGACTCTGAACACAGGGCCAGTGGAAGAAACACTTTAACCCAGAACCAAAGAAACACTTTGAAACTATAAAACCAATGCCAAAGAAACACTCTTTGTTCGAAGAATCAGAGCCAGTGAAAGAAATACACACCCTGGTCCTAAAATTAGAGCCAAAAGACTAAAAAGGACCAGAGAAAGAAACAGTTTGGCCCTGAAATCAGAGCCATCTCTGTCTCTGACCCAATCCCTGAGCAGGAAAACTTCTCTCTGGGAAGACACCACCCCTAAGAAGCCCTATATAAGCCTCTTTACCTGTTCAGTTTCTGGCTGTCCTTTCCCACCCTGACAGATGCAGCCACTGTTCTGGACTTCTCCTTCCCGAATAAATCTCTTTCTCAAAAGAGTCTTAGATGAAGATCTTCATTCTGGTGCAGAATAGCAGAACTTGCCTAGACGTTCCCTTTAGAGGCTGGACAAGGCTGTCTCTAAGAAGTAACAACTTTTGACAGCCTCAAAAACAATACAGAGAAACCCTGTCTAGTAAAAACAAAAAACAACAACAACAAAAAAGAAGTAACAACTTTTCACCAGAGCTGGAGGAGATTGCTACATTTCTGCAGGGGTTCCCCTTCAGCAGACCTTAGTTAGCCAAGAAGAGCGGAAGAAGCTCAGTCAGCTCAGCTAGGACGTTCACTTAGGGAAACAGAGCAGAGATTAACTGTAAAGGCTCTCTCTAGGAGCGGAGCAGGGTTGCTATATCCTGCAGGGACACTGTCTCCTACAGCACCCCAGCTTCAGGTGGCCTGGTTCTGGAAGAGTCAGGACACCTTTCTCTCCAGGGCTGAGCTGTGCTATTGCAGCTCTAGGTAACCTGGCTTCCCAATAAGCCAGGACACCTTTGCGGCTCCAGAACTGTAATACTCACACCCCCTTACATTTTGATGCCAAAACCTGGCACTCATTTTTGCCTACACTAGGAACATTTGTTCTGTGGTACACTCATCTTGCTCTCATTGGTTGGTTCACTCAGGTGGGATGGAACAGCTTGTCTACCATTAGAGCCTCCCTCTGCCAACCAGGATGTCACTGTTACCTGAGGAGTTCAGGAGAACTTAGACTTTATTTGACCCCTATTCAAGATGGAAGTTTTATTCAAAATGGCTTCAGTCTGGTTCCTTCTTACAGGCTAACATATCTATCTTTCATTCAGATTTTTTTGTTTTGTTTTGTTTTTCTAGTCAGGATTTCTCTGTAGCTTTGGAGTCTGTCCTGGAACTCACTCTGTAGACCAGGCTGGCCTCGAACTCACAGAGATCCGCCTGCCTCTGCCTCCTGAGTGCTGGGATTAAAGGTGTGTGCCACCACTACCCGACCCAGATAGTTTTTAAAACAGGTTTATACAAACTTTTTTATTTTATTATTTCCTCTCTTTTATGTTCTATTTTTTAGACAGGCTGTCTCTCACTCTGTAGCTCAGGCTAGCCTCAAATTTAGGAGTTATCAAGAAGACAACCTTGAATTCCTCATCTTCCTGCCTGGACCTGCAAAGTGTTGTGATTATAAGCACATGTTGCCATTCCCCGTTTTACATGTTTCTTTTTTTCTTCAGCAAAAAAAAATTATTTTTGCTTTGTTTTGGTTTTTTGAGACAAGGTTTCTCTGTGTAACAGTCCTGGCTGTCCTGGAACTCGCTTTGTAGACCAGGCTGGCCTTGAACTCACAAGATATTTTCAGCCTTTACTGATATTATTTAGCCTTAATAAAATGCAGAAAAATCCTGTAACATAATGAACCTTGAAGATAATGTGCTGAGTGAAGTAATCCAGTCATACAAGAATAGATGGCAGCCGGGCGTTGGTGGCGCACGCCTTTAATCCCAGCACTCGGGAGGCAGAGGCAGGTGGATCTCTGTGAGTTCGAGGCCAGCCTGGTCTACAAAGTGAGTTCCAGGACAGCCTCCAAAACAATACAGAGAAACCCTGTCTCGAAAAACCAAAAAAAAAAAAAAAAAAGAATAGATGGCATATTGTTTCTCTTTTATGAGGCACCTGAAGTGTTCAGATTTACATAGAAAGGAAAAAAAGTGGTGGTTTACGGGGCCTGGGAGGAAAGAATGGTGAGTAACTATAAAATTATCCCAAGGTGTTATCTTGGGATTAGATCCTTCTGTAAAAGACTGAATGGTGGTCCTGACCATCCAGCTTTTTCAGCCTCCAGCCACAATCATGCCATGGAGTGATAAAATACAGGCATCTCTTGTATACTTTATTTTTTATTTTTATTACTTATTTATTTATTGGTTTTTTGAGACAGGGTTTGTCTGTAGGTTTGGAGGCTGTCCTGGAACTCTCTTTGAAGACCAAGCTGGCCTCAAACTCACAGAGATCCGCCTGCTTCTGCCTCTCGAGTGCTGGGATTAAAGGCGTGCGCCACCACCGCCCGGCTGCAGCTACTGCTCTTAACTGATGAGCCATCTCTCCAGCCCCTACCTAAAATTCTTTACTTATTTATTTTGAGACAAGGTTTTGTTATATAGCCTTACCCGGCCTGGAACTCCTTATGTAGACCAGGCTGGTCCTAAAGGTCTCCTTGCTCCTGTCTCCTGAATTCTGGGATTTAAAATGTGCACCACCGTTCCTGTTACCCAATGCTCTGACACTCCAGAGTCTTGAAAAGCCTTCACCCAGAGTATACGCTTGTCAAGAACATGAATTGGAGCATTTGCATGCAGGAGATGCCACATAAGGGAAAGAGTGGGAAGCCCTAAGTCTATTTATGCAATGGACACCACAATGGCAGTAGCTCTAAGGTAGGACCAGCACACCTCGCCTGACTGCAGTGTCCTGGGAGAGATCTTGAGCCTTCCAGATCCACAGAGCAGGCAAGTCCCTACCAATGTCAAGGGCTTGCCTCAGCAAGAGCAGCCATTAATAATGGTGTGAGCAGGAATTCAGAGAGCACACTGCTCATCACACCTTCCCCAGCCACCTGCACCACAGGTAAGATAGCCCAGAGGCATTCACAAAAAAAAAAAAAAAAAAAGCTGGCTTGAACTTGGGGATGGGCAGGGAGGACAGCTTAGTGGGTAAAGCTCTCATGGTGCAAGCATGAGGACCTGAATTCAAATCCCACAACTCAAGTGAAACTGGGGACAGTAGCCCCCCATGTCTGTCATCTCAGGCAGAGACAGGAGAATGCCGAGATGTGCACAGGCTAGCTAGCGTTGTGCAGACAGTGGAGAATAACAAAGAAACCATGTCTCAAGATGTAAGACGAAGCCAAACATCCGAGGTTGTCCTCTGACCTCCACACACACCCCATTACTCGCACACACCCCCTCATACACGGATTGCACCGCATAAATAAATTTTAAAGATGATAGATAGGCAGACAGATAGATAAGCCAAGCATGGTGGCGCACACCTTTAATTCCAGCACTCTAGAGACAGAGGCAGATGGCGGAGCAGAGCAAGGTTCTAAGCTATTTCCGTAAAGTGTAAATGCTTGGGTTTCTCGTCTATAGAACGGTAAATAAGGTTGATCCAAGATTAAAGAAGCCATTCTGTGTACCTGGTCCAAGGCAAACCTTATTAGAAGCCCTACCCATGATTCTGGAGAGGAGTGTAAGACGGTAAAATCGCCATCCTCCCCTCAGCCCACCGTGGTTGGCAAGCGATGGAGCTGCGAATACCAACTGTTGTGTGAGCACACTCAGTGCCCAGTTACTCCTAAGGTGGAAGCAGTTCAGGCAGGTGCACGGGAATGAACAGTCCCAACTTTTCATTTGCCCCACCCCGGGGGCAGGACAGCAGAAGCGCCCGCCCTTTGTCTTTATGAAGGAAGTTGTTAGGTCACTCATTCAAAGTAGGAGAACGACCTGGGAAGCGGGATTCGGGACCTGGATCTCCGTGCCTGGGCCAATAGATCACTCCCTTTGCGGCCCTGTCTACCTCTCAGCCCAAACCCCGAGCCGTGGACGTCCTTCCCGCCCTTTCTGTGCACCTAACTCCGGGAAGCCGCTAGCTCGTGATGTCCTCTGCCAAGTTATGGTGAGTGGGGAGTGGGGAGTGGATCCTCGGTCTCCGGCACACCCACACAGGATGCCCCGGGACACACTCAGGGGCGCCTCTGCTTTGCCGGGTCCGGGTGGGCCCCGGGGTGGGGGTGGGGACTGACGCTCGCTGCCCGGAGGGCAGCCGCGGAGCTCGGGTGACAGGATGCGCTGAGGAGGAGATGGGGCCCCCTACTGGACGAGAACCTTCTCCCAGGTCCGTCGGTGCCTCGGTGGCCTCTCTTGTGTCCCGTGAAGAATTGACGAACCCGAAATTTGTGGGCAAAGGCGGTTTCGGCGCAGTGTTCCGTGCACAACACAGAACATGGGGCCATGATGTGGCCGTCAAGATTGTGAACTCGTGAGTGACCCCGGCTGCAGACAGGATCTGGTCAAGGGGCCTGAAGGGGAAGGGGGGAAGGGGGAGGCCTTCTAGGGTCCAACCCGACTGTGGCTCCCTTTCGGAGTGCAGGGAGGCGATATTCAGGGAAGTGAAAGCTATGGCGAATCTGCGTAGCCAGCACGTGCTGCTCCTGCTGGGGGTCACCGAGAACCTCGAGTGGGACTACGTGTCTGGGCCGGCTCTGGTGACAGGCTTCATGGAGAACGGCTCCCTCGCAGGGCTGCTGCAGCCCTCGTGCCCTCGGCCGTGGCCGCTCCTCTGTCGCCTGTTGCGAGAAGTCGTGCTGGGGATGTGTTACCTGCACAGTTTGAAGCCAGTGCTCCTGCACCGGGACCTCAAGCCCTCCAACGTCCTGCTGGACTCAGAGCTCCATGCCAAGGTCAGCCCATCTACACCCCAGTGCAAGCTTGGGACCATGCTGAATACCCTCAGTCTGTCCCTCTGAATACCAGACTAGGCAGGTCAACCAGGAATTCTATCTCTAGCATAGCAGGTGACAGAGGCCCTCCTTACCCGCCTGGGTCAGTTCCACAGGCCTATTCCACAAAGCCTCGCCCCTCATGGACCCAGACTGACTTATCCCAGAAACTCTGACATACTTAGACCCAGGCCTGCCCATCGGCAACTTAGATCTCCTCCCTCGGGTCTCATTGACCCTGCCCTTCCCCTCTGGTCCTCCACACCGTCAAAGAGCATCCTCTGGAGGAGACAGAGGGAAGATTCTGGAGAGTGGAGGAGACAGGGAAGATTCTGGAGAGTGGCCTGCCCTCTTCATCTAATACCTGCCTCTTCCTTTCCTTTGCAGCTAGCAGATTTTGGCCTCTCCACATTTCAGGGAGGGTCACAGTCAGGGTCAGGGTCCAGGGATCCAGGGGGGTACCCTAGCTTACTTGGCCCCAGAGCTATTGGTTAATGTCAACCAGAAGGCTTCCCCAGCCAGTGACGTCTACAGGTAAGCTATCCACTCCAAAACATCCCAAATTTTTACGCTTATTTGGGCCCTTCTAGCGGGGATGTGGTATGGGAAGCGGCCTTGCCAGGGGCCAGCTAAGCCTGCATTTTGTGTCTGCAGCTTTGGGATCCTCACGTGGGCAGTGCTGGCTGGAAGAGAAGCCGAGTGTAAGACTCTAGATGGACTCTTACCCCAGGTGCTCACAAGCACCTAAAACCCTGAGCCCTCCCTCCCCCCACCCACTCAGCTGCCCCTTCCCCCCCTCACCTCTTCCGCTGTGATGTCTCCTCATACCATGAATCCCTCTTGTCATCACCCCACCCCCACTCCAGTGGTAGACAAGACATCACTAGTTCAGGACGCAGTCTTCGAAAGGCAGAATCGACCGGCGTTGTCAGAGCTGCCTCCAGCCAGCCCTGAGACTCCTGGCTTGGAAGTACTGAAAGAGTTAATGATTCGTTGCTGGAGTTCTGAGCCCAAGGACCGGCCATCCTTCCAGGGTGAGTGGGCAGTTTCTCTGGCAGCTAGGAGAGGCTTGCGTATTCGGCAGGAAGCTTCACCCAAGGAAAGGGCTGCTCTCGTACAACTCACTGGGCTGTCTTTCAGATTGCCAACCAAAAATCAATGGTACCTTCATCCGGGTACAGGACAAAGTAGATGCTGCTGTCTCTGAGGTAAGTTCCCAAAGCCGCCTTTCCACCCAGGAGCTATTCAGGGATGCACATGCGGCTCCCTTGACCATCAGTGCATCTTCGCTGCCCATTGGTTTTTAATCCTTGGCCATCATTCTTGCCCACCCCAACCTACCTCTAAGTCTCCCTCCAGTAACAGATTAGAGATCAAGAAGATACTTTCTAGGGCTTACTCTGGCTCCTCTAACTCCTGTCTGTACAGGTAAAGCAATATCTGTCTCAGAGCAGAAACAGCGACGGAAAGTTGTCTGTCCTAGACCCAGACCCTAAAGGTACAGAAATGGATAACCCTGGGGAGAGCACGATTTCTGAAATGCTGGACCATCTGCATCTGGAGGGGTCCCTCAGATCGGTTCCTGAAAAAGGCCTACACCTTACTGAGATGGGAAGAGCACAGGAAGAACCGACTGGGCATGCCCCAACAGCAGTGACATCTTCAGATACGGTGGCTGGAACTCCCCAAATGCCACATACTTTACCCTTCAGAGGCCCAACACCCAGCCCAAACTCTGCTGAGACTCCAGGTCCTAACCCCCAAAGGAATCAGGTGAGGCTGGCAAGACTAGAGTGTGGCTCCTTACCAAGGAGAACTCAGGGTTGAAGGGTACACTGTGATGGGACCAGCCTCTTGAAAGCCTGAGAACTCTGTGCCGTTTGCAGGGGGATGCAAGACATGACACCCATTGGTCCCCCTGGGCCCCGGGGCCAAACCCAGCAGCAGGTACTCATTCTTCACCCTTGATCGCTCTCCCCCTGCTCAACTTTCCCGTCACCTTCATCCTCAACACCAACGTATAGAGTTGAGTTACCTTGGAGGGGGAGGAAAGGGCTAGAGACCAGCTAACCCAATCCTCACTTAATTCATGAGGACCTTGACACCCACTAGGAGAGGATCCCACTGAGGCCACACAACAAAACCTGGATATGCCCCGGGTCTGCTGACTCTCCCCAGGGGTAGATCCATGAGCCTTCACAGTTCATTTATTGCTAAGGCAGTCCAGAGGGACCTCCCCCAAAGACACCCACACAGCAGGCAAAGACCCTGCATTTGCACTCCCCAAGGTGAACACAAGGTGCTGCTGCCCCTCTCCCCAGACTGCTAGCTAAACTCATCCGTCTAACCAACCCTAACCAACTACAGAACCCTCCCAACACCACCTCCTTTTCTCTTAAAGGGCCACTGTCTATGAACCTCAGCAACTGTTCAGCAGTGCAGATTGGAAACAACAACTGCTTGGTGGTCCAACCAAGAACCGCTTTGCCCAAGAAGGGCCCAGCACAGTACGGAAGGGGTAGGGGCTGGTAGCCCCTCCAGACGTAGATTTCAGGGAATACTGCAACAGCCTGAAGCCTGGACCACACCGCACCGGTTGGTCAGACAGCACAATTGTAGTGGAAATTAAAGCACTTTGTAAGCAACCTGGAATGGCTAAGACAGTCCTTGCCTCTTCCTGTGGCCCACAACATTCTATGAGTGCACTTAGGCCTACACCCAAACTGACTTCTGACCTACCTCTCAAAAGTCAATAAATACAATAATGTTAACTATGACAACCAGGAGTGGGCTACCATCTGGCCAGAGCAGGAAAGGGGGGGGGGCTCTGGGGACTAGTTTCTCTGGTGACTAGTGTTATAGGCAACCTCTTGGCGTGTAAGGTCAAGGCGCAGCCGGTGGCAGGAAGGAATTACAGAGCCTTGGCTCTCTGGTGCTCCAATCTGAGGGTGGAGCGCTTCCTCCAGCGCTCAGGACTGAAACCACCCTAAGCCTGAAGTGACTGACAGAAGTTGCAGCCTTGCCACTCCCTTTTTGGCCTTGATTTTGAGCACTGGGCTTTGGGGCCCTGGTGAAAGAGGGTCTCTGGAAAGTCAAAGGTGTCCCAGGCTCTCTAGACCATCCGTACCCATTGCACAGGCTTGATGCACCTTGCTTTCTAGGCGTGCGAGCATTTCTGATTCTCTGTACCCAAGAACTGACAACTATGTCCAAGAAAGACAGGCACCAACCCATGGGGCTGCGGGCGGCTGCAGCTTGGACAGCTCACACCTGGCCACCCTTGAGGGATCAAAAGTGGAAGGGAAATGCCACCTCTGTCCTCACCCACACCCCAGCCCCAGCTGATAGCAGGACAGCACTCCTCCCAGCGGTCACCTAGTTCCCAAATAGTTTATCCTTATCTTGACCTCTTAACCCCCTCCATTACCTCGTGTTTCTCCATAGCCTACATGCTCTTCATTGAAGAAAGAGCAATGGCAGCGGTAAGAAATCACAATCTGAGCGTGGGAGGCAACCAGGGGAGCCCGGCTCCGCACGGGAAGGGGCTGGCCTGTAACATGGGGAAGTGGGAGGGGGCCTTGGCGCCAAGCGGGAAGCGCCAGTCGCCAGTCGCCCAGTCGCCAGCCCCCTGAGCCACTAGCAAAGCCGGAGAGGGTGAGTGGCAGCCTGCCTACCCAGGCTCCCTCCCAGGGCCTACCTTTGCTGAGAGAGCTTCGGGAACTCGATACAAAACAGTGAGTTGATGGGTAGAGGGAGATTCTGGGGCCTCCTTCTCGTCAGGTCCAACTCCTGTCCCTCTGGTGAGATTTTTTTGCTAGGACACTACCACGGTCTGGTTTGTGGGAGGGATGGAGAAGTCCTGTCACATCCAGCTGGGAGCCCTCTGAGAAAGCCCCTGGCAGGGAACCCTATCGCTTTGGAAAGCTTGGGGGCTTGGGTCCGAGTGGCTCCAGGAGAGAAAGAAAAGCGCACAGGCGGGCTTATTAACTGAGTGCCCGCGGTCCCCAGGGCAGGGGCTCCAGGCTGGGGCGGGGGAGACCATGGCCCGCCTCTTCAGTCCCCGGCCGCCCCCCAGCGAAGATCTCTTCTACGAGACCTACTACAGCCTGAGCCAACAGTACCCACTGCTGCTACTGCTTCTGGTCATCGTGCTCTGCACGCTGGTGGCACTGCCAGCCGTCGCCTGGGCCAGCGGCAGGGTGAGATGGGCTAGGTGCGGGGGAGTCTGTCCTAGGTGCGGGGGAGCCTGTCCTAGGCGAGGGGAGCCTGTCCTAGGCGCGGGGAGCCTATCCTAGGCAGGGGCCGCCTTGCGCTGGGGACATCTGAAGGACTGGGATTTGCGGGGTCTTTTGGTTAATAATGTCTTTGTCGGGAACCTCGTCATGAATTGTGACTCTGGGCACATGTGACCAAACCCTCGCCTCTCTGGGCTTGTTCCCTGAGTCTGTACTGGGAGGTAAGTGAGTCCCGGATGCATCTCACCATTCTGCTGGTTCTAAGGTAAATCCAACACCGGATTTTCTAGTTTTCCAGAGAGGAAACTACTCAAGTCCCTAGGGGAATTCATTTCCTGACTTTTTCTCACCAGTTTAGGGAACCTGAGGCTGTTAGCTGTGCCCACCACTTTCAAAAGGCAGTTTTCGCGCTGTGTTTTAGCTGCCCTTCTCCAACACCAAAAATAAATAATTTTTTTTACTTTCATGTTGGCCAGGAAGTAGGGTCTTCAATTCCAAATTTGGAAATATTCTGCTCCCAGTTTTCCTTTTACTCTTTGGAGGCAAGGTGGGAAAAATGACTGAGCCTGCTAATCCTTGTCTATCCCAAGCCCAGGACCAGTGGGAACAAAGGGTAGGGGAAGTAATGGGACTTCCAGGCTAGAGGAAAGGCCTGTATTCAGGTCTCAGCGCTTGGATGGCAAGGAGCTGCAGAAAGGCTGCCTGACTAAACATTTGTGAAGTTTAGCGCCATGGCTTCAGGAGAGAGGACTCTCCTAAGCAAACTAGCCATTTGAGGGGCCTTCACTCAGAATCCCAAGCACACACTGCAGTTCCCCTGTAACAGATGGGAAATGTGGGAACAGCCAGGCAAGTCTGCAATCCCAGCATGTGGGAGATAGTGAGTTGGGCACTGGTCCAAGTGACATGAGACCCTGCCTCAAAACTGAAAGAACAAACAGGATTCAGAAAGGGCGTGGGAGGCATTAGGTGGAACCATGCGAGACTACTGAACTTCATGGATAAACCAGCAGGGTTCCAGCAACGTCTGATCGATCCATCTATGGTGAAAAAGTAAGCAGTGTTTTCTTTCATTTATCTAGGGTTTCTTTCATTTCTTTAGGGTTTCTTTCATTTATTTAGGTTTTCTTGTGTGTGTGTGCGTGTGTGTGTGTGTGTGTGTGTATACACTTGAATGCACACATGTGGAGATCAGAAGACAACTCTCTTCTCTCACCACATGGGTTCTGGGACTCAAACAGATCATGGGGTTTGGAGGCACCCCACTGGCCCTATTTCCGTTTAGTGTGTGTGTTTAGGACACTTCACAGAACTGATCTGAAGAGCATCTAACTGGCTCCTTTTCACCTTGAGAAAACTCCATCCTTGTCTTTCTTCACACGTCCTTTCTCCACAGGAGCTGACCTCAGACCCAAGCTTCCTGGCAACCGTGCTGTGTGCTTTGGGTGGCTTCTCTGTGCTGTTGGGGCTGGCTTCCCGAGAGCAGCAACTGCAGCGCTGGACTCGGCCTCTTTCTGGCCTCATATGGGCTGCGCTGCTGGCTCTAGGCCACGGATTCCTGTTCACTGGGGGTGTGGTGAGCGCCTGGGACCAGGTGAGGAGACTCACAGTCGGGGCTGCGGGATAGGGACCTCAAACCCAGGCCCTGTGCCCTGAAACCCAGGCCTTCAGCTTCCCACACCCTTCCCAGGTGTCATTCTTCCTCTTCATCATCTTCACTGTATATTCAATGTTGCCTTTGGGCATGCGGGACGCTGCTGTTGCAGGCCTCACCTCGTCACTGTCGCATCTGCTGGTCCTTGGACTCTACCTTGGGTGGCAGCCTGATTCACAGAGGGCTCTGCTACCACAGGTAAAAATGCAATAGTAACCAGGTGGTGACCCATAGCTTTAATGCCAGCACTTGGGCGGCAAAGGCAGTCTGGTCTATAAAGCGGGTTCCTGGATAGCCAGGATTGCTACACAGAGAAACCCTATCTCGAAAACAAACAAGCAAACAAAAAAGCAAGAGTGCAGGTGATATTCCACAGCTGGCTCAGCTGCTTGATAAAAATTCTCTGGGTGTTTGCTGAGCTTGGACTCCAAGGCAGGGCTCAAGTCTGAGTGCAGCATCTAACACAGATAAAGCCTATAGTGACCTCTTGGAGCTGGTACATCAGTGCACCATGCCTGCCTTTACCAGAAGAGGGCAATATAGCCATGGGGAAATCAACGGTGATTCTCCCACAGGTATAGAAGTAAAAAGTGGAAAAATATAATTAGAACTTGAGTAGTTTCTTGAAGATGAAATGGGCTCAGAAGGTGAACGTAGTAGAATGTTGGAGAGGAAATATACACGCAAGACATCTAGACCTAAGTGACCAGGTTAGCCCAGGAGCCAAGAATCTATAGCAAAGAGCATAGAAGAGGAAAAGGACCAGCTCTCCCCCATGGATGTCATAGGGGGGCACCAATTGTCCTGAGATACTTAGGTCCCTAACTGTAGATAGAGCCAGGGTCTCCCCATGCTGTTCTTGGAACCAACCCGAACTACACAGATAGACTCTCCCTGCCCCGCTGGGTGGTGTACTCTCCAAGCCTGGCCTTCACCCACAGCTGGCAGCAAACGCGGTGTTGTTCCTGTGTGGGAATGCGGTAGGAGCATACCACAAGGCGTTGATGGAGCGAGCATTGCGTGCCACATTCCGAGAGGCTCTCAGCTCTCTGCACTCACGCCGGAGGCTGGACACTGAGAAAAAGCATCAGGTCAGTGGGACTAAAGATCAGGAAGGGGACGGCAGCTCAGAAAGAACAGCTTTTTTGGGGGGGGTTCTTTTTTTTTAATAACCTTTCAAAAATTGCATTAATGTTTAACATGCAGTCAAATAACTTTCTTTTTTTCCAGTTTAAATTTAGATAAGAAACGAGGTTGCTTCACAAGTCAGTTCCAGGTCCCTCTCCCATTCCCTCCCCTCCTCCCGTGCCCTCCCCCCAACCCCCCCCCCCGTTATCCCCTCATTCCCAGGGAGGGTGAGGCCCTCCATGGAGGTGTCCATAGTCTGTCATTTCATATAGGGCAGGGCCTAGACCCTTCCCTAAGAGTTCAGGGTGAGAGTGCACCTCACATTGTTCTATGGGAGTCCAAAGTCCGTGTGTATACTTGGGATGGGTACTGATCTGCTGCCCAAGGCTCAATAGGTTCCCTAGGCCTCCTCACTGACACCCAAATTCAGGGGGTATTGATCAGTCCCATGCTGGATTCCCAGGCTGATGCCTGGGATTCAAGAGTTAACCTTTGTCTGGTCAGCTGTTTCTGGGGGTTAAACCAGCCCAGTCTTAATCCCTTTGATCATCGGTCCTCCCTCTCTGTTACTGGCTTTCTTGAGTTACTGGCTTTCTTGAGTTCAGCTCAGTACTTAACCAGCCGCTAAATGAAGTTTCTGTTTCCCAGACTCTCTGGCCATAGGATTGTAGGCTGGCACTCCTCAGATCTATGTCTAAAATCCATATATGAGAGAGTACATGCCATGTTTCTCTTTTTAGCACCTTCCTATGGAGGGGGTTTGGGTGATCCATTTGCCTTTCTCAAGCATTTCCTCTTTTATATGAATGTGACTATTACCCACCCCTGGAAGATAGTCTCTAGGTTCAAATTGAAGCTCAGTGAGATATCTGAGGGTAAGACCCTTGCTGCACAAACCTGAAGCTGTGAGTTCGATTCCTAGAGCCTAATTAAAGGTAGATGGAGATAGCTGTCTCCCCAAAGCTGACCCCTGACCTCCACCCACACACTGTGGCACATGTGCCCACATACACATGCATCATTAAATTAGAGTTTTAGCAGGTATGGTGGTGCCCACCTTTAATCCCTGCTCTTGGGAGGCAAAAGCAGACATACATCTGTGAGTTTGAGGGAGGTCACCCTGGTTTAGATAGTGAGTTCCAGGCCAGCCAGGGCTCCATAGTAAGATACTATCTCAAAATAAAAAGAAGAATAAGTAATGATGATAATGATGAAAGTTACTATAGGAAGATTTCAAATTTAGGTATTGATACTGGGTTCAGTCCCTAAGTGACCAGGACAGAAGGGGATGCTGAAGTCCTGGTAGATGGACTAGTGGGTGGATGGAATGTGCAGGAGAATTTGGAAACCGAGGCTCTTGGTGCTAGGGCACGAGAGGGTTGACAGTGTCATCAGCGGGACTTTCTCTAGGAGCACCTCCTTTTGTCCATCCTTCCTGCCTATCTGGCCCGAGAGATGAAAGCTGAGATCATGGCACGGCTGCAGTCCGTGCAGGCGTCACGGCCAGAGAACACAAACAACTTTCACAGCCTGTATGTCAAGAGGCACCAAGGAGTCAGGTAGGAGAAGGAAGCCGGGAGTGGGGGTGGGGGTGCGGGGGGGGGGCAGGGACCCCGGACCGCAGCCCTGACCTCATCAACACGGTCGCCCTGCGCAGTGTGCTGTATGCCGACATTGTGGGCTTCACTCGGCTGGCCAGTGAGTGTTCCCCGAAGGAGCTGGTGCTCATGCTCAATGAGCTCTTCGGCAAGTTCGACCAGATTGCCAAGGTCAGAGGGGTTTCCCTCCCCAACCAGGGGCCCTCAAATACCATATGCTGGGGAGCCTCTTGCAAGGAAAGCACCCCTCTTGTAAGAAGTCTTACATTACAGGCAAAGCTCCCAGATACTGCAGTAGAAGTAGGAACCGCTCACAAACGATCCCACTCAGGAAGTTGTTACCATCCCCAAGAGAGTTCTCCATGTCTTTACAGACATCCCTAGCATAATGCTTCCAAGTATGTACGGAGGCTTCCAGGCATACTGACCTTGGGAGGCCCTTCTGGGAGAGATTTCCACTTTTGACAACTCAGCTTAGC